TATTAAAATATTTATAAAAATTAGAAAATTTAAACTTAATAAACTTGATTTATATATGCATGTGTCAATATATTCATCCTTTTACAAAAATTTGGGAAAACATTATTTTTTATTTTACTTACAAGAGGAGAAACAAGTGCATCTGCGATAATTAATTATAAATCTTTTTCGTATTTCTGATATGCTGATCTGAGAAAACCAAAACTAGAATTGTTATGTGTTTTACTTGAGTTTGGACTTTGGGAGATTGGAAACAGCTTAACAAAGAGAAATGCTCTTACAATGCAATCAGTTGACCCCCTTTATCCAAAGAGATGGAAATTGATGAGAAAGATGGAAATTGATGAGAAACGTGGAAAATTTTAAACCACGAACTAAATTTTTTTAACTAGGCCGGGCGTTTCAAATAGTAACAAATTATTAAATTTCATTTACTTTCAATTTTTTGATTTATATTTATTTTAACGGCAAGACTTGCCTAATTCGATATCATTACAATATACTGGAACCCACAAATTAGAATCAGCCACGAAATTTCATAATTTTTCATTAGTTCCATTAATCTTATAATTCCTTTTCTTTTTTTTTTTTCTTTACATAGTTCTTGAATTTAGAAGGTTGTCATGTTCTATTAACTTTTCTTTATTTAAAAATTTCTTATACAATAAATACATTAAAGTTTATAAAATTATTATAATTAATAATTCCATAATAGTTGATCAAAAAATTTTTAAAACTATTTTATATTATTTTTTTATAGTTAGGAATACATAACCAATTCCTTAATAGAAGGTGAGACTGAATGATAGAAACTGGGATAGGGGCCTTCAGATTAGTTATATGTTTTTACAAATTATGAGTAAATTATAATGATACTATTTAAAGTACAACTCTCCATCAATCTAAAGAAAGAATAAAGTTATTCACTATATAATTCATCCATAAAGACTTATTCAATTTAAGAATATAACAGTTTCGTATAAATAGAAATCAAAGTTCAATGTAAGGTCGAGTGCCCTGTATAAACTCAAAGTTGATGTCAATATAAGGTATGTGAGCTATCTTCGGCCAGTCTTCTCCTCTTTCTTTCCGGCACCTCCTCTCAAGATATGTACAACCGCTAATCCCCAAAGTTCTCAGCCTCTTGAGATTTTGCACCCCTTGCGGCAAACAAATCAAATCAGGGCAATTGTCGATCCGCAACTGTTCAAGTGAGGTTAGACATCCTATCTCATTTGGCAAAGAAGACAATCTCTTACTATCACCAATTGTCAGTCTTTGGAGAGCAGTGAGATGCCTGATATTCTGAGGCAATGAATTCAGCTCTGAACACCCCCGTACATGCAAAACCTTAAGTGCAGTTAAATATCGCACTCCCTCAGATAAAGACGTAAAATTATTGCACTGATCGATACGTAATGACCGAAGTGAAGCCACACCCACCACAAAATCCATTGACTGGGAAAGATAAAAGGCCACATTCAGATATACGTATTGACTCCAGAGAATTAAGCTTTAAGAGACCTTCTGGCAAGCTTTCTAGTTCATAACATTGCCCAAGACACAAGGCTTTAAGAGCAGATAGGTTCTCTAACTCATTTGCAAGCGACTTCAGACTCTTCATACAAAATATCTTTAAGTACTCAAGGACTGTATGATTATGTAGCAATCCAGCAGGAAAATCTCTCACACTACCAAAGCCATGTATACTAAGCGTAGTAAGAAAAGGAAAATTCTGAACTGAACTAAGTAACATTTCACTTTCTCCCACAATTTCTAATGTTCTGACGGATGGTATGACCGGCAAGTCAACCAAGTTCTTGCAGCCGTACACGTATAATTTTCCAAGGCGAGGAAAAATGTTTCTTTCAGCAACCGTTGCCCATTCCTCTAAGTTATCCATATAACTAAGACTCAACGTCTCCAAAGATGGGAATGCACTTTCATCATCTCCATATACCTCATTATCAATGTGCTTCAAAGCATCCATGTGCCGCAATTTGAGAATCTTAAGAAACTGTAATTTCCCAAGAGGTGGAAGATGTTCACATCTACGACACGATAATGAGATTTCCACTAGATTTGGTAATCTCCATCATCCAATTTGGAAACCTTGAACCCTTCATATCCCTCTATACTCAACTTCTTTACATTTGAATGTGGTTGGAGGCCACATAAAGTCTCTTCAATGTTTTCTGTTGAGCTGTTGTTGCCATTGCCTTGTTGCCATATTAACTCTAGCCATTCGAGATTTTTCTTCGAAGTCAAGTTGGCACTTCTAGCATCTGTTAAATCCTTCACATTATCAAGACCTTTGATGCTTAACTTGCCATCAAGGTTCAAGCTTCTCGCCATCAAGGTTCAAGCTTCTCAGCTCCCCAATCTGCTGACCAGCATCCTTGCCCACAATGAACATGCTAAGCTTTCGCAGACGAGTCAATTGTCCTATTCCAGGAGGGATACAGGTAAGCTCATCACAACCAGTGATGTGAAGATATTTGAGATCTTTCATGTGCTTCAAACCATTTGGCAGTTTAGAGAGATTCTGACAGTAACGGAGATCTAATGTCTGAAGCTTTTGGAGGGAGGTTATGGACTCAGGTAAAGATTTAATAGCACTCCCAGAAAAATCTAAATATCTTAAATGTTTCAATTTATCAATTGAAATAGGCCATTTTTCAATGTTGAATATGCACAAGGCTCTTAGATGCTTCTGTTTAATCAAGAAAGGAAGAAAATCACCCGAAGAAGGAGTAACAAGAAATGAACGCAATGATCGAATTTTGTGGAGGTCCTTGTTTCTAGGACTAGGTAGCCAATAGTTACCATCAGAAAAAGCCAAGTGACGTACCACTTTGGAAACTTCCAATGTTTTATTAGGTTCAATAAAACAACACTCATATTTCATAACTGATTGTGCAAGGTCATGAACCAGATCATGTAATTTACATCTTGTATCTCCATAAAAATCCTCTTTGATATCTTCAAAAAACGACCTCAAAACTAGTTCATTGAATATCTCATGGCCCATATCATGTAAATCCATACCTCCTCTAGACGAAATAAAGCCATTTGCGATCCACAACTCAACCAATTGATCCTTCTTCATTGCATAATCTTTGGGAAATACTGAGCAAAAGGACAAACACTGCTGGCAGTAAATGATCATAGCTCAACTTCAAGGCAGGCAAAATTGTTTTTCCATCGTCTGGCATATCCCAAATATTGCTTTCCTTGATAGCTAACCACTCGCTTTCTTTTCTTTTAAATAGCATCATGCTTCCCAATGCCTTTACAGCTAAAGGTACCCCTCCACATTTCTTGACTATGTCTTTCCCAATGGCCTCCAAGTGTATATAATCTTCCTTATCTCTCATCCTAAAGGCGTGCCGCTCAAACAACAACCAAGAATCATTATCAGACAATCTATTCTTGTGCTCTCTCATCCTAAAGGCGTGCCGCTCAAACAACAACCAAGAATCATTATCAGACAATCTATTCATGTGCTGAACCTGAACGGGTGCCGTGGCCATCATAAGAGCAACTTTTTCCATTCGGGTAGTTACTATTACAGCACTCCCCTGTGTTCCACACCTTAATACATTGATCAGTTTCTCCCACTTATCATGATATTCATTCCACACATCATCCAACACAAGCAAATATTTCCTCCCACTTAACTTCTCTTGGAGGCTGCGTTGTAAGGGATCTAACTCTTGATTGTTACAAGGGCTACCTTCAATGGACTCTATGATGGCTCTCGTCAACCTCATTATATCAAAATCGTCAGACACACAAACCCAAATTCTCATATGAAAATGACTTTCTACCCTTTTATCATTATACACTAACTGAGCAAGTGTAGTCTTCCCAAGTCCTCCCATGCCACATTATACACTAACTGAGCAAGTGTAGTCTTCCCAAGTCCTCCCATGCCACATACTGCATAAACAGAAAAATCATCCGAATTGGACAAAACCAAATTGACTAACTCCTCTTTCTCCTTATCTCTTCCACAAATTTCTAATTCATTCACTAATGAACCAGTTTGTCTCCGATCAAAATCCTCACTACCTTCTATTTCTCTCTCTCCTTCTCTTAAGTGAAATTTTTGTTTCTCATTGGCAATGGCATCTAATTTTCCATTGACATTCCTCAATTTATGTGCCATTTTTGCATGAAAAAAAAGAGGATTCTCAAGAGAAAAGAAAGAACTTACTCGGTTCTTGAAACCTCTTTGTAGTTTTCGAGCTTCTATGTCAAATTCATCAAGAACATCCTCTGCATCATAAGCTGCATCCTTGAGCTTCCAGAGCCAATTCTGGACAGCTTCACTCTTCCGTTGCTTCTCCTCTGCGTCACGGAGCACAGCTTGGATTGTACTTAATGTACTTTCAAGATTCTCAAGCTCGCTCTTCAATCCACCAAGAACAGCAGACTCGCCAAGCAAAAGGTTATTTAAGTTTGTCATTATTTAAGTTTGTCAAGATTGTACTAACAAGAGCAGAAACAAGTGCATCTGCCATAATTAATCTCTTTTAGAATTCCCGATATGTTGATCTGAAAGGAAGAAAACTAGAAAGCAATTTCTTTTTTTTTTTTTTTTTTCTTCTTCTTTTACGATTCTTATTTGTTGGTAAACAGAAACTTGTAATGAAGTTAGGAAGAAAGATCAGTGGGGTAGACTAAAAGTATTGTATTTTTTGGCCTTTTCCACACGGCATTGACTGCTGACTTTGGCAGTAGCCGGCCCAATGGTAGAAGATGCTCGCTCACACCTCACTCAACCTTTATTCAAAATATTAAGGGAAAATAATTATTTGGTTCCTGAAATTTGCCATAATTATTTAAATAGTCTCTAATATTTATATAAATATTTATATAGTCATTGAGGTTCATTTCCGTCTTATTAATTGTTACGTCCGTCGAAAAATTACGAGCACGAGGTTTGTTATAATTATTTTAAGTAGCTTGCCATATAAGCACGGAGAGTTGAATCTTTGAAGTGTACGAGAGGCATTTTCTTTGTTTCTTTTTGTCAATTTCATAGTACTAAAATACCATTTCTTATTTCTATATTTCATTTTGCCATATTCAGATCAATGAAACTTGTATACAGTGGAGACTGCTACCAAAATTAAATAGGTATACTTTTTATGATTTTTTTAGGTAAATACCAGGACGAATTCACTTCTCTGCTTCTCTCTCTTTAGCAGAAGGATTGACACCATGCCACATTACTGTCCACAATAAACTGCAGTCACTTGTAAGGCATTCATGTCATTAGTTGAGAATGACTTCTGGAGTGTATGTGCAATCTTATTCGATTTTTAGGGACTGGCACTTTAGTATGTGTTTTATATCATGAATATATGCTAGGCCAATTTGCATGAGCTTCTGAGTTGGATCTCTGATACATCTGAACTATGGCTGTGTTTGATTCGGATATGAAAGGAGATCCATTTGTAAGTAAGATATTTGGATTTCTGTGTTTTCTTCCAACTGCTTGTGCCCATTTCAGTATTTATAGCTCAAACAATAGTATAATTGTTTCAACACATTCTCCAATTTGTTCAATTTATTAATTATGATTATTTTTGTCTACAAGCATTATTTTAAATGTAAATAGCTAAAAATCTTTGGATTTGCTGTATAAATCGTGTTATTTCATCGGCTAGATAATATCGTTCTCTAATTTTTTTGTGAATTTTATCTTGGATGCATTTCTAGATTCAAAATCAGATGATTCTGAAAGCAGATTCTACGGCAAAAGAAGGATGCTTCCTTCTCTAACGTGGGCCCTTTGAAGGATAATGAGCGTAGGGATCTTCACTGCGGCTGTGAAGGAATATTTACTTATAGCTGGATATCGGCTTACTGCTATGACATTCTATGAAGAAGCATGTGAACCTTTTGATGCAAATTATTTTGTTTTGTTTGTTATTATTGCCTTCCATGGTTTTATTTTCATATGAAGATCTTTTGTTCTGACAGAAAACAGGGAGGTCCTATCTTGTAAAGATGTATGCATGCGTTTCCTACAGCATTTTCTGCACTGTATTGTCTGTTGTCTCTCTCATTTAGCTGAAAACGGAAACCACTTGTTTGCTTATCCAAAAGTAGACAAAAGATGATAAAAATACATGAGAAACTATAAAGGTTTTAGAGTTGCAAAGTTGTGACAAGTACATGAATTCTTTGTGTAAATTAGTAGTTGGATATAACTTATGTTTATATATGCTGGGACTGAAGCTGGATGGCAGTGCAAGGGTAGAAAAGTTGCTTTACTGAGCATTATTTGGATAGCATGGTCCTTCAACTTTTATTTTTGATTAACACAAGTGACAAGTCCATACATATTAGTAGTCCGTTTGAAAATTTCATATCTGGTTAAAGACAGTTTTTATATGTGGATTTTAAAATAGAAAAAAGGATGCTGTTGAAAATTCATATTGCAGACTATGGATTTTCATTTACTTATTGCTATTGGAGGCAACATCAGACAGATATTTCTTAAAATTTTGTCTTGCATCAACACGTCTGTAGCTCTCATTTGGCATGAAAATGTAGGTCAAGACTCAAGTGGGTGTGTTGAATCTGTACATGTGCCCATTGGTCAAGTACTATTTGCTTTTGTATCTGTTGAGAATATTTGCATTCATTTTGATTGCTCTCCAATTCTTTCACTTCAGGTTATAGATCAGAATTTAGATGTTTGGCAGAATACGCCTGCATATGTGCCAGATGCCTTGCGACATTATGGCATGAAAATGTAAGGTCAAGACATCCAAGTGGGTGTGTTGATACTGTAACATGTGCCCATTGGTTCAACGTACTATTTGCTTTTGGTATTGTTGAAGAATATTGCATTCATTTTGATGCTCTTCCAAATTCTCTTCACTTTTCAGGTTTATAGATCAGACATTTAGATGTTTGGCAGAATCGCTGCATATGTCCAGAATGCCTTGCGACATTATTACTATCAATACCTTTCTTTTCCACTTCACAGCTGCTTGAGGTTATTTTATGAAAGATATTGCCTGGTTAAAACAATTTGTACATATATGTATACTGCCATGTCAGAATTTAGATGTTTGGCAGAATACGCCTGCATATGTGCCAGATGCCTTGCGACATTATTACTATCAATACCTTTCTTCCACTTCACAGGCTGCTGAGGTATTTTATGAAAGATATGCTGGTTTAACAACTTGCTACATATATGTATAGCCATGCTAGACTTTTCAAATGTGTATTTAAAAGTCAATGTCCTCCACAATTCTCCATCAGGCTTTGACTACAAGAAAGTACCATTTTTTGTGGCTTACGTTTCTGATTTTAAGTGCAGGCCAAATATGATCACACATTATCCACTTAGCTAGACTATTTCTAATTGCAATTTTATTAACATATTAGAAATATGATCACACATTTTGTGGCTTACGTTTCTGTTTTTTATGTTATTAACATATAGTACGCAAATCATGTTCTAAAGTTATTGGTTAGGCTGATTCCTTCCTTGATTGTTATCCACAGTTTCTGTTTAAAGCAAAAAAAGAAAAAGAAAATTCGTCATTGCTAGATTATTAACCTCGGTACCGATAACATTATCTGAAGTCTAATATCCACAGTTGTTTTGAAGTGTACTATTTCATCCTTGTGTTTGTTGATCATGTAAGAACCTTCAAATTTTTCTATGTTAATACTTGCATTTGAGTGGTACAAATTTAGATTTTGCACAATCATTATTAACAAATATGTATTAACGTTTGATGTGGAGTGGAGGTGGGTTCTGTGCTGAAATGTAAACTCGTTTTCTATTTTGCAGGAGAAAATTGCCGTGCTCAGAGAAAATGAGTCATTGAAAAAGGTCTGTGACAAGCTGAATCGTGAAAAAGAGAAATTACTCAAAAACAAAGATTTTGTTGATAAAACTTTAGAAGCCCTTCAAAAAGATCTCAAGGAGAAAACTTTCCTACTATTTCCCACATGGCGATGTTATAGCAAGTAATAGTGTTAGACGGATTTGATTTTGCATTTGATTGCTGTTGCATTTAGAATCTAGTTTTTGGCAGAGGACAACAACAAATAGAACCTTTGAATTAAGCAATTGACTTATAAATGAGAAGTAAACCATAAATCTGCGGAAAATTATATAGATGGCTAATTGTCCTTATTCATTAATTAATGATTAGTAAATAGATTGAAACTATCAAATGTTTGTAATATATAATGTGATGACTTGGCTTTCTTTGATGCTAACAGATTTCAAATTTCTTCATTGGTCTCTACTTCTTGAGCGTTGTAACCAAGTTTGGGATCAGCACGGTGTATTTGGGATTTTCAGCCATCTGTCTTCTTGCAGTCTTGTACATGGCTGGTAATGTTGTGGAAACCAAGGGACGATCTTTGGAGGAAATAGAGCGTGCTCTTAACCCTACAAGCTGATTTAGATATTTGTCGAAAGTGCACGTGGTAATAATTTCACTGCTGCTTATGATTGGCTTCAAAGAAAGGTGATGCAGGTGATGCTTCTCTTTTGTTCTAGCAAGGCCTGAGTGAAATTCCTGAGGATTGGGGTAACAGTAATTTAGGTTGTTGGAGCTGAGTGATAAATATCCTGAAGATTTTTGTTATGTTATTATTGCAATGAGTTTTACAGTATTACTGACATTGGAACTCTGAAATGTGCAACAATAGGTGCATTTGTACTGTAGGGTGTCCAACTGCCAACTGCCAACTGCCAACGAACTTCGGGATCAAGTGAAAAAATAAAATGAAAACCGCCTTAGTTCATGGGCTCTGACTCTCTAAATTAACTATTCTTTACTTTCTCTCATGTTTTCTAGTAATTTAAGAATTGGATTAATATATTTTAATATATTAAGCTTTTTTTTCATATATTAAAAAAAATTAATTTATTAATTTTTTTAATAAAAAATCCTGAAAATAAAAAAGTAGATATAAGATTATATTATCATCATAATATAATCAATTTCTATGGGTTCTATTCTAACTAATTGGGCAAATTTTGAGAGATTATCTGGCATTAATAGTTTTCGAATTTACATCATCTGCAAAATCAATTAAATCAAATACAAAATTACAATCAACCAAAAACCTTGTTCCTAGAGCTAGCACAAAAAAAATGGAAGAGGAGAAATCCCAGAGCTAATAAAAATTTCCCAACAGAGATTTAGCAGATATTTCTATTGGATTAGCTGCAATTTAAAGAGAGGTTAGCAGGTCAAAGTAAAGAAGTGAGGTTAGATATCCGATCTCATTTGGCAAAGAAGACAATCCCTCACAGTTACGTATTCTCAATCTTCGGAGAGCAGTGAGATAGCTGATACTCTCAGGCAATGAGTTAAGCTGTGGACAGTCGCTCACAACCAAATCCTCAAGTGCAGTTAGATTCTCCACTTGCTCAGATAAAGACGTAAATTTGTGGCAGTTTATGATAGACAGCGACCGAACTGAAGCAACACCAGAAAACCCATTGACTGGGAAAGATACAAGGCCACACTCGCTTATACGTTGTCTCTCCAGAGTATTGAGCTTTAAGAGACCTTCTGGCAAGCTTGCCAGTTCATAACATTGTTGAAGTAGCAAGCATTTAAGAGCAGATAGATTGTTAAACTGATCTGGAAGCAACTTCAGACCCGCCAGTAAATGTATGTTTAAGCTCTCAAGAAGCGTAAGGTTCTGTAGCAATCCAGCAGGAAAATGTGTCACGTTAGTAAAGCCACCAATATGAAGATCATTATTCAAAGGAAAATTCTTAACTGAACTAAGCAACTATTCATTTCCTCCAAAAATTCCCAATTTTTTGATGGACGGTATAATTGGCAATTTGATCAAATTTGGGCATAAGATCACTGATAATTTTCGTAGGCGGGGAATATGTCTCTCCCAACCACCATTGCCCATTCCTCCAAGTTTGCCATACTACCAAGAATCAAGCCCTCTAATGAAGGAAATGCACTTTCACCATCACCATATACCTCACTGCCAATGAACTTCACAGCATCCATTCTGCATAAATGGAGAACTTTAACAAACTTTAGCTTCCCAAGTGATGGAAGATGTTCACATTTGTTGCACTCCGTTAACGAGATTTCAACAAGATTTGGTAAAAGCAAGTTCTCCATCCAATTGGGAAACTTTGAACCTTCATATCCGATTATGCACAATTTCTTTAGATTTGAATGGGGCTGGCGGCCACAGAGAGTCTCTTCAAAATTTTCTACCGAGTTGTTGTTACCATTCCCTTGTTGCCATATTAACTCTAGCGATTCGAGATTTTTCTTCCAAATCAAGTTGGCACTTCTGGCATCTGTTAAGTTTTTGACATTATCAAGATTTTTGATAGTCAACTTGCCCTCAAGATTCAATCTTCTCAGCTCCCCTATCTGCTGACCAACATTCTTGCCTACAATGAACATGCAAAGCTTTCGCAGACAAGTCAACTGTCCTATTCCAGCAGGGATGCATGTAAGGGAATCACAATCTCTGATGTCAAGATTTATGAGAACTTTCATGTGCTTCATGCCTTTTGGCAGTTCACAAAGATAATCACAAAAACGGAGATTTAATGTCTGAAGCTTTTGGAGGGAGGTTATTGACTCGGGCAAAGATTTAATATGAGTGGAAGAAAAATCTAAATATCTTAAATGTTTCAATTTCTCAATTGACATAGGCCATTTCTTAAAGGTGGAGCCATCCAAATGCAAGGGTCTCAAATGCATTTGTTTGGTGCAGTAGGGAGGAATATCATTACATTTGGTCCAAGGAAGAGCAAGGTCCGAACGCAATGATCGAACTTTGAGGCTGTTCTTGTTCATAGGAATAGGTAGGAGATGATTATCATTATGAAAAGCCAAGTGACGAACCCCTTTGGGCACTTCCAATGCTCTATTACTTCCAATAAAACAAACACTCATATCTCATAATTGATTGCAGAAGGTCATGAACTAGATCATGTAATTTACATGTTATATCTCCATAAATATCCTCCTTGATATCGTCAAAAAATGACCTCAAAACTAGTTCATTAAAAATCTCGTGGCCCATATCATGCAAATCCATTACTCCTCTACAAGAAACAAAACCATTTGCCATCCACAACTCAACCAACTAAGCCACCAAGAATTGCAGACTCGCCAAGCAAAAGATCATTCAAGTTTGCCAAGATTGTACTTACAAGAGATGAAACAAGTGCATCTGCCATAATTAATTATAAATCTTTTTCGTATTTCTGATATGCTGATCTGAGAAAACCAAAACTAGAATTGTTATGTGTTTTACTTGAGTTTGGACTTTGGAAATAATTAATTATAAATCTTTTTCGTATTTCTGATATGCTGATCTGAGAAAACCAAAACTAGAATTGTTATGTGTTTTACTTGAGTTTGGACTTTGGAAGATTGGAAACAGCTTAACAAAGAGAAATGCTCTTACAATGCAATCAGTTGACCCCCTTTATCCAAAGAGATGGAAATTGATGAGAAATATGGAAAATTTTAAACCAAGAACTAAATTTTTTAAACTACGCCGGGCTTTTCAAACAGGAACAAATCATTAATTTCATTTACTTCAATTTTTTGATTTACATTTACTTTAACGGCAAGACTTGCCTAATTCGATACCATTACAATATGCTAGAATCCACTAATTAGAATCAGCCACGAAATTTTATAATTTTTCATTAGTTCCATTAATCTTATAATTCCTTTTCTTTTTTTTTCTTTACATAGTTTTTGAATTTAAAAGGTTGTCCTGTTCTATTAACTTTTCTTTATTTAAAAATTTCTTAATTTATAAAATAATTATAATTAATAATTTCATAATAGTTGATCAAATAATTTTTAAAACCATAATAGTTGATCAAATAATTTTTAAAACTATTTTATATTTTATTTTATATTATTTTTTTTAGAGTTAGGAATACATAATCAATTCCGTGACATAAGGTGAGACTGAATGATAGAACTGAGCGTGGTGGCCTTAAGAGGACTTTTATTTCGTTCTTGTTTCTCTATTACACATTCCAACAGTGAGCAATAAAAGGAAAATTTTGAACTAAACTAGGCAACAATTCATTTTGTCCTAAGATTTCTATTATAACAGTTTCGTATACATAGAAATCAAGAGTTCAATTATATGCAATTAAAATTACTCTATTCACACACTACTGCTAACAAAAGCAAAACTAGGTGGAGTTAGGAGTGCCTGTATAAGCTGAAAGTTGATGTAAATATAAGGTATGTGAGCTATCTTCGGCCAGTCTTCTCCTCTTTCTTTCTGGCACCTCCTCTCAAGATATGTACAAGCTCTAATCCTCAAAACTCTCAGCTTCTTGAGATTTTGCACCCCTTGCGGCAAACAAGTCAAATCAGGGCAATAGTCGATCTCCAACTGTTGAAGTGAGGTTAGACATCCTATCTCATTTGGCAAAGAAGACAATCTCTTACTTCCACCAATTGTCAGTCTTTGGAGAGCAATGAGATGGCTGATACTCTTAGGCAATGAATTCAGCTCTGAGCACTCCCATACATTCAAATCCTCAAGTGCAGTCAAATATGATACTCTTAGGCAATGAATTCAGCTCTGAGCACTCCCATACATTCAAATCCTCAAGTGCAGTCAAATATCGCACTCCCTCAGATAAAGACGTAAATTTATTGCACCCTTCGATATGCAGTGAAAGTGAAGCCACACCACGAAATCCATTGACTGGGAAAGATACAAGGCCACATTCACATATCCGTCTCCAGAGAATTAAGCTTTAAGAGACCTTCTGGCAAGCTTTTTAGTTCATAACATTGCTCAAGATTCAAGACTTTAAGAGCAGATAGGTTCTCTAACTCATTTGCAAGCGACTTCAGACTCTCCATATAAAATATCTCTAAGTTCTCAAGGACTGTATGATTATGTAGCAATCCAGCAGGAAAATCTCTCATATTATGAAAGCCACTTATCTTAAGCGTAGTAAGAAAAGGAAAATTATGAACTGAACTAAGTAACATTTCACTTTCTCCCTCAATTTCTAATCTTCTGACGGATGGTATGACCGGCAAGTCAACCAAATCCTTGTAGCCGTTCACGTATAATTTTCCAAGGCGAGGAAACATGTTTCTTTCAGCAACCGTTGCCCATTCCTCTAAGTTATCCATATTACTACGACTCAAGCTCTCCAAAGATGGGAATGCACTTTCATCATCTCCATATACCTCATTATCAATGTGCTTCAAAGCATCCATGTGCCACAAATCGAGAATCTTAAGATACGGTAATTTCCCAAGAGGTGGAAGATGTTCACATCTACGACACGATAATGAGGTTCTCCAATTTTCATTCTGTATTTTATACATTGGAGATGTGTAATGAAATGGCTAGTTCATCTTTTCATGTCCACAAAAATATTTAAAAAAAAAAATGACTCGTTTTTATGCCATACAGGATTGCCTCAAAACCCTTAAACTCTATTAGGTCCGTGCCCACTCAAGTGGGACCCACACGCTTTGGTGGCGGTGTTCCCACTCAAGTGGGACCCACACTCTTTTGAAAAGAAAAAAAAAAGTTGGGTGAGAGAAACGGGGTTTGTACGCTTCATCTCAACACACAGTAGAGAGAAAAAAAAAATTATTGAGAGTGATATCTAGTTTTGAGAAGGATTTTTTATAATTAGGGGAGAGAAAAATTAATGAGAAAATTATTTTTGGGTGTTTTTGAAAAACAATTTGAGTACCATGGACGTAGCCCTAAATTATTAGGGTGAACCACGTAAATTTCTATGTGTCATAATTTTTATTTTTCTACTGCCTAATTATTCTTGTAATTTTATTGCAAGGGCCCTATCAAACCCAAACCAAAGGTAAGACTGACAGCGAAAAAATGAAATGATGAAACTTGGAAGATAAGCACCAATTACAGAAAACATCAATTGAAACTTCCAGCATCCAATCTTCAATGTGAGCAGAAATTTTCCTTTTAGTATTATTAACCGAAACAATGATAAGGAGCTTAAACATTAAGCATATTTAAGCTCTCAAGTCTGTTCAAGCATCTCATGTGTCTTGCCAATTCTCTTGCCACTAAAAAACTTGGCTAGATTTGGCATCACTTTTTTCTTTTTCCTGATTATGTTGGCATCACTTTTTTCTTTTTCCTGATTATGAAAGAAGTTGATCCGGGTGTGATTCGACCAGCTGGAGAAGAAGAGTTTCGAACCTTGCCACGTTTCGATGGAGTCCAATTACCATTGCCTTTCATGGACTTTCTTGGAGTAGCATTGCCATTACTTTTCATGGATTTTCTCCTCAATGGTTGTGCCAAGTTATCCGCTAGTGAGTTTTTCTCTCGTTTTTGTCTCCAGTTTCTTATTTCTCCTTCTACTACTCTTTTTGCAGAAAGTGACCTCTCAGTTCTATACACCTGCTGCTCTTCCTCGGTTCTAGTTTCTTGGATTTCTTTGTGAGCTAGTTCGATTTTCATCAATATTTCCTTTTCATTAGCTTTCAGTGATTCTACCCATGCTTGAGCTGCTGCAACCTTTTTATCTGCAATTTCTTCAGCCTTAACTGCTCTTCCGGTTAAGTACTTGTACTCAAACTTTGAGATAGTAATTGAGGAACTTTGTTGAGAAGAAGAAGCTCTAGCTCTCATTGTATTTGCTATAAGATTTTGCAGATTCTCAAGAGCTAAAGATTCTGATGCTTTGACTGCCTCAAGTTCTTGCATTGCAGCCTGCAATCTTTCTTCAGTTGAGTCTATTTCAGAGACAGTTTTCTGAATTTCTGCTTTGATATTTGCAGTTTCTGCACTAATAAGCTCATTCTCTTTCTTTGCCACTTCTGTTTCCGTTTTCAACTGTTCAAGAGTGAGAGAGAGATTGGATACAATTGCTTTAGTCTTTTCCTCAGCTGCAGTTGCGGCTTCTAGCTTGGTTTTCGCTCTAAGAAGCTTTGAATTTAGATTCTGAAAGGTTAAATCTGCTTTATGTTCCATTTTCTTTAACTGCTCTAAGAAGCTTTGAATTTAGATTCTGAAAGGTTAAATCTGCTTTATGTTCCATTTTCTTTAACTGCACAGTTTCTCCTGTAACATGCTTGAGCTCACTCCGTATTATATCCATTGAAGCCATGAACTGAAAGCCCTCTTGTTTAATTGAAGTCAATTCTTTCTTTGCCTCTTCCAACTCTTCTGTTATCGAATTCAAAGAAGGCAACTCCTCCAATTGGTCGCTTTTTCGAAAACTACCTCCTGAATGCTTCAAACTGTCATTGCTCAGTACCTTTTTTTCTATTTCTTTAACAAGCTTTAGTTCATTCTGGAACACATTCACATCAGAAAATGTAACAGCCAATTTAGACTCAACATCATTCGAGCGATCAATTTCCTCAACATCATCCCATCCTTCATTTTCTTTCTATTTTCCTCCATTGCATGTGAGAATTCACTTCCTTCCTTCTCTCTTTGAACCTCAATTTCTCCAGACTCCTTCAATGCCTCAATCCGCGCTAACTCAACAAGCACTTGCTCCTCATTTACCTCCTCAATCTCCTTTCTAATTGCTTCCACAGATTTCAAATTAGTCCCTCATTTAGAATTTGAGACTTCGATTTCCTTCTCGGCTTGCATTTTCGCTTCTAAAACATAAGCCATGTCAAGTTTAAGTTTACTCAATTCTTGCTTCACACATTCTATTTCTCTCATCATTTCTGCATATTTATTACTCTCTGAACTCCCAAAACCTGAACTCTTTTCTTCGCGCTTACTGGACTTCTTTAGCCTTTCCATATCTTTAGCCTTTCCATATTGTTTTAAAACAAAACTACAGTGGAGAATCTTTACAGATTAAATCTTATGAGATTGATAGAGAATTTCCAGCAATATATTTCATTGAAGAATACTCTGCAGATTTATACAAGAATGGAAATAACAAACTTCCTATTTAGAAGCCATCATAACGGTGGATAAAAACTGAATAAAAAATCTGCAACTAAGAGCTAAAAAACCTAGCCATACTTAAGCCACTCCTCCCCAATTTGGATGCTGTAAAAAAAAAAAAATAACAGAAAAATAATTAACAGTATGCTGGAACTGAATGCCAGAAATCTAACACTCTCATGGCATTTCGGCTGACAAACAAACAAATTCTTTGGTCTCAAGTCTTCAAATCTCTCCTTAGGGAATGGCCTTGGTAAAAATGTCTGCAAGCTGATTTTCCAGATGAAGGCAATGTACAAAGTTAGCACTTCGTTAGATTGTTTGAACTTCTCTGATAAAAATGAAACTTAATTTTGTATGCTTCGTTCGACCATGAAACACTGGGTTTTTTGGACGATTTGAAACTGCTGAAATATTATCACAATGATCTTTGGTAGCTTTCTGTTCTGCTCCTGCTCACACTGCAAATCTTTTAGCATCTTCCTTAGCCAAATAGCCTGGTTTACAGCAGAGGCAGTAGCAATGTACTCTGCTTTTGCTGTTGATTGAGCTGTAGTTTCTTGTTTTTTTGAGCTCCAACTGAAAAAACTTGTGCCCAGTGAAAATAAGTATCCAGAAGTGCTTCTTGAATCTTCAATACAGCCACCCCAATCGCTGTCGCAGTAACCAACCAACTTCAAACTCTCCCCTGCAATTGCTGCAAAGAACATCCCAAATGTGCTGGTTCCTTTTATATACCTTAACACCCTTTTGGCAGCTGTAAAGTGGGTTTCCCTAGGTAAATGCATAAACCTAGAGAGCAAACTTACAGCAAGTAGAATGTCAGGTCTGCTAGCTGTAAGGTACAGAAGACTACCAATTAAACTTCTATAGAGGATTGTATCTACTTTTTCAGTATTTTCATCCTTGCCTAGCTTTAAACCAGTAGAAATTGGAGTGCTTACAGGTTTGCAATCTTGCATTTTAAACCTGTATAAAATATCAGAAATGTATTTCTGCTGACTTATAAAAAAAAAACCATCATTAGTTTTGCAGCTCCATCCCAAGAAAGTTTTCATGATTCCCAAGCTCAGTCATCTCAAAGACTTTTCCATTTCATTCTTGAACTTTTGAATGAAGTTCAGTCATCTCAAAGACTTTCTCCATTTCATCCTTGAACTTTTGAATGAGTTCATGTTTGCTACCTGTCACAAGCATGTCATCAACATAAATTGAAATAACTAAAAGCTCATCATCTGTATTTCTTACATACAAGGTAGCTTCACTTTGACTTCTGCTAAAGCCAAGTTGCATGAGATAATTGTCCATTCTTTCGTACCAAGCTCTCGGAGCTTGTTTTAAGCCATACAAAGCTTTCTTTAGAAGATAAATTTGATCTTCTTTACCAGGAATTAAAAAACCATCAGGTTCCTCTACAAAAATCTCTTCATTGAGAAACCCATTCAGAAATGCTGATTTGACATCAAGTTGGTGAATTTGCCATGAATTGTGAGCAGCAAAAGCAAGAAGGAGAAGCTAACCACCCGTTGAATGTCGGTTTTGATTTTTTGTAAAATCACATTGTTGTAGAATTTGGCCATGAATTGTGTGAGCAGCCATCAAGTGCACCGAATGGAGATGTTGGCATTGTGTCATATTCTTCGCTCTAGCTGTCGAGAAGAAAAGACGCTCTCTCCTTCTGGTGAAGTAATCACCCACTCGCATAGGTGAACGCATATCGTTGCCACTACATCTTCCGTTCACCCAACACAGTTCTTGGCTTTATGGCGCTTTTATTCTTAGAACATATGAAAGTCACCATCAGAAATGGTGGGAAATTTTTGGGTACATTGGTGGGAAAGACCCACCTCTATTAACACACAAATCCCTTTGTGCGTGATTTATATGCAAATGGTCACCTAATACAGAATAGCTGCATGGGGTCGTATTTTGGTCTTTTTGTTTGATACGGGATTTCTAATAAGTTCATATTTGCATTAGCATAGCTTTTCTGCCTTCCTGATAGTGACCCTCATGTCGTTGTGAACAAGGTTGCCTTTGTGCATAATACTCTGCGTAGCTTGCTTATGGTTCATATGAGACATTATTAAGATAACATATTCAATATTACGGTCCTATGCGTAAGAAGGACTTTAGTGATTCCTCTCTCGGTATAGGCTGTCAATCACTTCTAAGGAAATCCATCTTGCTAGAAAACATAGTCTGATGTTTGTTGCTTTTCGTGTTTAGGAAAGAGAGGAGGTGATTCAGCTGCTATGAGTATCCTTCTTATTGATTACTCCCATACACCTGAACAAGCTTAAGAGCTCATTTCTTAAATCTCTTTACATCTCTGCTATCAAAATTGTTTCGTTTCAGTATTATCAAGAACATTAGCAAAATTTCTGGATACTCACCTTTTACACGATGAACCATATGCTTCATGAAAACTCGGCTTCTATTAGTTCGCCTAGCCCTTCATGTATGAATCACTGTAGCCTATGCATTCTTTGGTGATTTTCTTAGAGGACACTTGAATAATCCAATAGTATAGCATAGCCCCAAAGATTCTGATATGATGTACCTATATTTTGTGCTCTTATCGTTTTGGTCATAGCGCCATTTATTGTTTTCATAATAGAGCTGAAGATCCTTGGATACGTGGTGCAAAGTCTGGTAAAACTGCGTAAATTTGTGGGTAAAGAGTATAATGGATGTTACAAAGCCTAACATATAGGACAGGATGTATTTGTTCATAAGGAGTCTTGTCTTGCAAAGCTTTTGTGGGAAGTCTATTTAATAAATAGACAGAAGTATTGACTGCCTCTGCCTAGAATTGGTTTGGCATTTGTTTCTCAATTAAAAGACACCTGGCCATCTCTATTACTGTCCTATTCTTCCTTTCAAACACCCTATTTTGTTGCGGAGTGTAAGGTACAGTCAATTGATGTTCAATGCCTGCACTTTTACACAATTCAGCAAACTGGCGAGAAGTATATTCTCCACCATTATCAGATCTTAAAGCTTTAATTTTAAGATTACATTGATTCTCTACTAAAGCTTTAAATTGTTTAAATAAATTGTTTAAACATATCAAAGACTTCACTTTTGAGTTTAATGAAATAAACCCAACACATCCTGGTGCAGTCATCAATAAATAGGAGAAAATAATTGTTACCACTCAAGGACTTGGTTGTCATCGGACCACACACATCAGTGTGGACGAGTTGAAGTTTCTGATTTGCTGTCCATGCCTGATTTGTTTGAAATGGTAGCTTCGATTGCTTCCCTTGCTGACAGATCTCACAAACTTGAGTATCATAGGAAATTTCAGGCATATCTTCCACCAGACCCTTCTTGTTCATTTCAGCAATTGTTCTTTGATTGAAATGTCCAAGCCTTTTATGCCCTCATTTCAGTAATTGTTCTTTGATTGAAATGTCCAAGCCTTTTAGCCACAAGTTTGTAATTGAATGTGAAGCACTTGTGTAAGCTTGCTCAAATGCTTTCTCCCAAGTTACTACAAAACTTCTATTTTTCATGTTCACACAAAATAATTCAACTCCAGAAGGATAAAAAATAAAGCATTTGTGATCTTTAAAAAGAAATGAATAATTTTTTTCAAGTAGTTGCCCAACACTTAACAAATTTTAGCTAATTTCAGGTATGTACAAAACATCAGGAATGGTTTTGATACCTGATTTTGTTAAGACAGCCACTGATCCTCTTCCTTTGACTTCTAAGAATTCTCCATTTCCCACCTTTACTATGGATTTGTAAGTATCATCAAGAGTCCTGAACATCTCTGCATCATTGCACAAGTGATGAGTGCCGCCACTGTCGATAAGCCATACATCAGAGAAGTCATTCATTAAGAAGCAAGAAACTGCAAAAAGTTGCTCCTCCTGTGCATTATTTTCATCTGCCATTTGAGCTTGAGAAGGTTTTGAGCCTATGTTTTTGGATTTGTAGACTTTGGATACATGCCCAATCTGACTTTGGATACATGCCCAACCTGCTTACAACTGCCACATACAGCATCAGGCCTCCACCAGCAATATTTCTCAAGATGTGTTGTTTTTTTGCAATGTTTGCAAGAAGGAAATGATTTCTTTGAACTTTCACTACTATTTCCACCATCGTGCTTGCCCTTATTTTTCTGGTTGGGATGGTGTTTCCCCTTACCAGAGTTTTGCTTTTGCATAGAGAAAGCTCCTTCGGTGAATCTCTCCTGCCTCATATTCCTTCTTTGCTCTTGTGCTTGAATTGCACTCATTAGTTCACTTAATGAAATCGTACTTAGGTCTTTGGACTCTTCAAGAGAAGAAATCTTGAGAAGAAATCTTGGATTCAAACCTCTCTGGAAGAGTCACAAGAACTTTCTCCACAATTCTTGTCTCTAAGAAATCTTCACCAAGCAATCTTATGTTATTAACAATCAAAGAAATTCGATCGGCATACTTACTGATTGTTTCATCCTCCAACATGTGCAATGACTCAAATTCCCTTTTCAAGTTCAACACTTGCATTTGACGTGTTCTACCACTGCCTTGGTATTCTTCCTTCAACCTGTCCCAAGCCTCCTTTGCAGTTTTGCAAGCCATAATTCGGTAGAACACAGAATCTGCTACTGAATTTTGAATAACTGACTTGGTTCTAGATTTCTTTACTTTTTCTTCACTGTTGAATTTGATTTGTGCTAAGGTGGGGTTTGCTGGTAGAGCAGGAATTTGTTTATCCTCTGTTACAGATTCCCAGAGATTAAAGGCTTCCAAAAAAGCTTGCATTCACTGACCAAATGTGATAATTTTGACCAGTTAAGATGATAGGCGGGTTTAAAGATTGGCTGCTGGATGCCATTTGGAGTTTTGGATTAAAAAAACTTTGGTTGTAGTTTGGTCTTGTAAGATAAACTGCTCTGATACCACTGTTAAAACAAACAACAGTAGAAAATTTACAGATTAAATCTTATGAGATTGATAGAGAATTTCAGCACGTATTTCATTGAAGAATACTGCAGAATTTATACAAGAATGGAAATAACAAACTTCCTATTTAGAAGCCACTCATAAGGTGGATAAAAACTGAATAAAAAATCTGCAACTAAGAGCTACTAAGAGCTAAAAAAACAGCCACTAATTAACCATAACTCCACCCAAAGCCACTAACTCCACCATTTGATGCTGTAAAAAAAAAAAAATAACAGAAAAATATTAACAGTATGCTGGAACTGAAATGCCAGAAATCTAACACATATCTCTCATCTTTGCTTTTGCCTTGGAATTTGATTCCTCAATTTGTAAAGCAAGATCTTTAACTGTCTTTTTAGCCTTTGAAAGCTCAGTTTCTGCCTGAGCTGTGACTGATTCTGCCACCCTTCTACTCTCTTTATATCTAACCATCTCTCTCTTTGCCTTATGCAATTCTTTAGCTCTTGAAGAAGAATTCTATAAATCAATTCCAGAACACATAATTTACAAACAATACCATCAACTAAGCTGCATAAACTTAAATAATTTACAAACAAAATACCATAAATTTAACTATTTATTTGATAGAACAACCAAAAAAAAAAGTGTTTAACATATCATACCTCAGGTAAATCAATTTGGGGTTTCTTCAACGAAGAATTACCTTCAAGAATTCTTTCTCCGTACATATTAATGGCTGCCTTCACTGTCCCAATTCTTCTTCTATCATCAATAGCTCTTCTATCCATTTCTTAAACTGTTCCATCAAGTGTAAAAAACAACTGAGTAATTACACAAATTCAAATTCAACTAATCAAATTAAAATCAAAGGAAGGTTATTCAAAGAATACAATAAAGCTATTCAAGAAAGGCTTATCTGAAAATGGTGATGCATATATATAATGTAATATTCTTGGAATTTTAGATGTCTAGAGCATTTTTATAAGCATGGAGAGTTGAATTTTTGAAGTGTGCTAGAGGCATTTTCTTGTTTCTTTTTGTCAATATTCAGATAAGATTGTACTTACAAGAGGAGAAACAAGTTATTAGTGTACTCTCACATTTGCCAAATTTGGAGGTTTAAATGATGATCGTCATTTCATACAAAGTTAGATTGTAATTATGTTTTTTGATTTTGGTGTCTAAAGATAAACTATTTCCTAATTTAAAGATAAACTATTTTCCTAATTTAATGTAAAATCAAAATTAATTTATTGATCTGTACACCCGCCGCCGCTCCAAGAGACCCGACGGCGGATGCCACATTCGGTTTGGGCTCCGTGAGAGAAAAGAGGAGACACCTAACATAACATATAAATCATACAATCAGATTATGAATTAGAAGTGATTAAAGTATTGACAAGTTTAGCGAGTAATATTTTTTCAATTTGTTTTTGAAATATATATATATATTATGAAAACAATTTAGGAAAAATCTACAGCAAAACTGCAAAGAAGTTTCCTTTTTAAAATCGATTTCGCCAAACATGTGAATACAAAACACTCCAATTTTTTTAAAGCTCTAAACCCCAGCAACTCCAGTAATCACTAGCAACCAACAACAACACTTCTATACTTTCAATAACTATAGAAACCCTCCAATAGCATTTTAAATGATTCATTAATTAAATGCATTCATTTTATATATTATATCAAGTCTTTATGTTCTTAATCATACCAACTATCTTAAACATATTTATATCAAACATTAAATAAAATCTCATGACTTATTCCAAAATATATACACCAAAACTAATTTAATCATTACATACTGCTTAAGTTATAAATTCAAATAACATAAAATCTCCGAAAAATATAATAAATTATACATGTTCATGATTCTTAACGTAGCATCAACTATATTCTACCACTACTAAAATAGTCGTTCTGGTCTAAAGCTACTCTTCTGATCTTCAAGTAGCAACCACGGCTCAACCTGCCGCGTGATAAAAATCAACCGCGCTGAGTTATAAAACTCAAGTGGTGCTCAAAATGACGAAAACTTACAAATGTTGCACTTAAAATATAAATTTTAATCAAAAGAACATACATTTACATTTAATCGCAAAAGAAATATCAAATAAACTTATAATTTAATAACATAAATATATTTTAAATTCTTCAAATCATAAATTTCCCATTACTTTGACATTAATTATACCGAATACACATACTATTTATTTTAAAAACAGTATGAATATCAATGCTTTGAAAATTAATTTGAAAACACTAATCATTTATTTCCAAACTAAGGTTTACTGAAATATCATAATCTTATTCATTTAAGTGGCCTTAAAATTTTTCAAGGCCTCGCATACACTTAGGAGAAAAGAGAAGCGATAAGGTTTTCATAACTTATTCAAATAGCCTTAGGTCGCCAACCTTTTCAAATAAACATATAAGACGCGTGTTCCGCCTAACATAAGACCCCACGTTGCCTAGCATATGATCATAGCTTCCGTATCATAATGGCATCAAATGCGAGCATCTCATCATACATAATTAAAAATCAAATCTCGCATCAAATTCACACAAGTATATTTAGAGCTCAAAATCCTTGTTTTAAATTCTTTAATTCTTAATTCATAATACTTCTCATAAAACTTGTCTTATTCTTTAGTCTTCTTAAATTCATAATGTAAGCTTACTTTAGAACACAAGTAACTAATGAAAATTAACATAGAAAATTTCTTATCATATGAAATCATACATGTAAGCTTACTTTTGAACTTACGTGACTCATGAAAACTTCATACTTAAACATAATTACTTAATATAGGAAATTTCTTATAAATTCCTTTTTTTTTAAAACGTTCTTGAAGTCATAATGAAATTTATTATAAGAAACTTCTTATCATATAAAATCATACTTTCCTTATTCAAAATTCAAAGCGCATACATCTTAAATACCCATTTTTTTTTTAAACTCTAAACATATGAAAGTTATCAAAATAATTATACTTATGTCATAGATGTATAGATAGCATACCATACAAAAAATAATAATTAAGTAAGTCTTACCACCCTAGAGTGGTTTGGCGTCTTAATGAAAACCAAGGGGAGGAATTTCCTTCTCCAACCAAGCATACTAACATAAACATAACTCTTATGCACCAAGGTATCTCATTTTCTATTCCTCATCATGCCATTAATCTAAACTAATTCCAACACTTTAATCTCAAAATTTCTAACAAATTTTTTTCCCATTTATGTCCGCATTTAAAACATATCCAAATAACAATTTTCCAAAATTATATCCTTATTTTTGTCAAATAAATCCTCAAAACATACAAAATAATCAAGAGAACTCATCCACAACATGATCATACATACAATTGATCCAAAATAACCCATGATTCAAGGCATAGGAAAATTTCCCAGCACTAAATATAACCTTGACCTTTGGTAAGGGTTTTTAAAGACATAACTTAGTTAAATAGGTCTCCAAAATGGGAACGAAAATCAGATTCATTTAGAAAGTAAGACAAAAATGCTACAAATGTTATGAAGGGAATTCATAGCCCAGATCAATATGCAAGGTAGCAAACAAAAGCTAGGAAACACAGACCAACAGTCCATAGACCTGATTCAAGCGAACCAAGTCAAATGTTTATTGAAATTACTCCTTAACCAAACACTCAATTAATTTCAATCCAAACCAGAGAAGTTCTCAAGACACAGGACAAACAACTCTCATGAAGAATTCAGAACGATAATCTTTCCATTATAGTGGTCAAAATGGGCAATCAATTCAGTGATGCATGTGGCCGTCATAAAACACAGTCAGTTTGGGTGTTTTCAGCCATAAGTTGAGCTATATATCTCCAAATTGGACCAAGAGGATGGTTGGAAAGCTAAGAGATAGACCCTAACAACTGTTATGAAGGACTCAGACACAAATGGAAACTAGGAAAGGAATTCGAAAAAATGGTCCTTAATCTCAGCTCAATACCGTTTTTCTCAAAATTCAGCTTAAACTTTAACCATGAAGGAACATGAACACAAAGATACAAGGTAGACATGTCTACAACAACATAAATACTCATCACATATCACCCAAGAGCAATGTAATTTGCAACCAAAATCAACAAATCAATATTTCATACAAAATCCAAAATAATCCACATAAGAGCATAAAGGCACAAAATCAAAATTTGAGTAAGGTAAGTGTGTTTTATCAACACTAAACCTTAAAAAATAAGCTTTAGCAAGCTTAAATTAAACGATTTCTAAAGCTCTACTATTTGCCTTTTTTTTTTTTACTCCATGGTAGAGGTTTCTCCAACCTTTGGCTCAAGTAGAGAATCTCCCAAATTTCTTGAATAATTCACCAAAAATCACTTCCTCAAGCTTTAATATCTAGGATATAACTAAATCAAGTTGGTTGGGTGAATTTTGATGTGTTTTAGTAAGAAAGGAAATTGGAAGAAACCATGAAAAGAAGAAGAAGAAGAAGAAGGAGGAGGAAGGAGAAGGAGGAGAACGTGTTAAAAGGGAAAGAAGAAGAAAGAAAATGGGTGCACAATAATTGATGGTTGAACTTATATAAAGCAACAAGGGTATTTAGTCTTTTTCTCCTAATTGGATGGCTAGGAATAAGTTAAGTAATCTCATCTAATGGCTACAAAATAATCTCCCAAGTAAATTCCTTTCAAATATTAATTTATCTCCATAAAATTTCAAATTTAATACCTTAAAAATAATTCCTCAAATTCCTTTTACTTCAATATAACACATATTACTTTCACTATTATCTAAAAATTTCCAAAAAGATTCATTAACTTTTTTCTACGCCAATCAAAATCATGTATGCCATACCTCCAAAAATATTAAATAAAATATGAAACAATAATAGTAATTTTTCTGGACCAAAAATAATACTGACTCCCGGACCGGTGGTACTATTCACAGACCGGTAAAAACTATTATTTTAGACACAGAAAAATTAGGGAGTTATAGTTCTCCAAATATATAACACCAAACTAATTTAATCATTACATGCTTATGCTTAAGTTATAATTCAAATAACATAATCTCCGAAAATATAATAATTATACATGTCATGATTCTAAGTACATCAAACTAATTCTACCACTACTAAAACAGTCGCTTCTGATCTAAAGCTACTCTTCTGATCTTCAAGTAGCAACCACGGACTTCAACCTGCGCGTGATAAAAATCAACGCGCTGAGTATAAAATTTACCAATGTTGCACTTAAAATATAAATTTTCATCAAAAGAACATACATTTACATTTATAGCAAAAGAAATATCAAATAAACTTATAATTAATAACATAAATAATTTAATTTAATTCTTCAAATCTAAATTCATTACTTGGACATTTATTATACCAATACACATTCACTATTTTATTTTAAAACCAATGTATCGAAATATCATGCTTTGAAAATTAATTTGAGAAATAATCATCTTATTTCCAAACTAAGGTTACTTGAATAATGTGATCTTATTGCTTTAAGTGCCTTAAAGAATATTTTCTAAGGGCTTCTGCATACACTTAGGAGAAAGAGAAAGCAGATAGGATTTTCAATAACTTATTCATAATGGCCTTAGGTTCGCCAACCTTTTTCATAACATATAGAAAGCGCGTCCGCCCTAACATAAGACCAACCCACGTGGAACTAGCATATGAAATCATAGCTTCGTATCATAATGGCATCAAATGCCAAGCATGCTCATCATATATAATAAAATTAAATCTCGCATCAAATTCACACCAAGTATATTAGAGCTCAAAATCCTTGTTTTAATTCTTAATTGAATGTAATATAATTAGATGTAATATAATTAGATGTATTTTTATAATAAATATTATATTAAAAATGCATTTGATCATATTATTAACGTACTATAATTATTATATTAGAAACACATTTGATTACAATACGTTTCATTAAATGAAGCCCTGTGTTATTATTTATGTATAACGCAAAACATTTATATTGAGAAACTATTGAATGGGATTAATTATGAATTTAGTTATAGAAATTTTTAAATTTGAATTGATGAATTAGTGAGAGTGGGGTAGAAGCATTGACGGTGTGTTATAGATCATGAGGACAAGCAGAAGACAGAGATATGAGAGAGTTAATAATTTATAATATAAAGACTGTCTGATGAACTGCAGCTTCCATGGGTGTTAAAGCTCAGGGATGTTCTGTAATTATATGTAACTTGTATATCTTTCTCATTTTGAAATACAGTCTTTTTTTTTTTTTTTTTTTTTTTTTTTTTTTTTTTGAGGTTATATTTACATTTTGGTCATTATTAGTGTAGTCTCACATTTGCCAAATTTGGAGGTTTAAATGATGATCGTCATTTCATACAAAGTTAGATTGTAATTATGTTTTTTTTATTTTGGTGTCTAAAGATAAACAATTTCCTAATTTAATGTCAAATCAAAATTATTTACCGATCTAATGTTTATCCTGCGATAGAAAGAGACTATTTACCTCAGATTATTTTTTAAAAATGCAATTCATTAATAGTAATGTCAAGAATTACAAATAAAAATATAAATTAGATATAGAACTTTACTGACTAGTAGAGTTCGCAGATCTTCTAACGAAATAAAAAAAATTCATATCTTTTTGAATAATGAAATTAAAATTAAAAAATATAATATTATATCTTTCCGTTTAGAGTTACCTTGACAAAAGATATAAATCTTTCATAACAGCAACTACTCCATTAATTGATTTGAACGTCAAAATAATAACTCCTCTGGATCTTCCATAACTGGATTGTTTTTTCAATAATTTGCAACATATGACGAATGCAGATGAGTTTCCCCCGCTATGCGTCGATAGCATCAATGGAGGAATAGGTCGCATTACCAAACTCCACCGATTGAAGATCTACACATGCAAATCAAAATCTAAAGTCTCCAACTAAATAAAATCATATATCATAATTTTATTTAATAATAAATATCATAATTTTATTTAATAATAAACCCTCGCAAAGAATGAACAAGAAAAACTCTAAATATAGAGACAACCAACCATAACAAAACAAAAAGACAGATTTGTTTTTGTTTTAGGAAAAACGAATCTGAGTTATTGAAGGAAAAGAAGATTAAAAGCAAAAAATAAATAAATAAAGGGAAAGAGATAGTAGAAAGTAGGAGGTAGGAGCTAAACAGCGATAGCCCCAAACTAAAATTAAGGTTAGAAACTAGAGAGAAAAGAGAGATGTGAGATGTGAGATGAGTAAATATTTGCCTCATATAATTAATATTATCAAGTACTAACGCAGTGATATATATAAAATTTAACTATTTATTTTGTATTGGATAGGAATATCATAATGCTCAAAAAATGCAATAGTATCACTAGTGTGGATATCTTTTTTTAAAGTTAGTATTTGTTTTCTAAAAACATGGTTTTAATTATGTCTAATACCCACAGTTATAATGATTTAAAGAAAGCCAGTTTGGAATTTAAACTTTATAATAATGACAAAACTAAAACATGGTTACAAAATTCCTCTTCTGTGATTATTTCATGGTCCAGTCAAAGTTTTAAATATAAACAAAATTCATTAAAGAAGAATCATTAAAGAAGAAGAAGAAGAAGAAGAAGAAGCAACACAGCACTATCCAAGTTGAAATGGTAGCATAACCTTCAATTATACAACGATAAAAGACAAGGAGCCGAATAGAATCCCATACCTTAAAAAGTTCACAAATTTCTAAAAGTTCACAAACATTTTTCAAATATAAGAACTGATATATATATATATATTTTTTAGTATTCATTGGAAAAGGCATGAAGACCATTGGTTGGAGTTGGAAGTGTATGTTCTTCTTTTTGGCAATATGTTCCCTGTATTTAAGGGCTGTCTTTGCCCTTAAAAAGATCATTTGTTGCAATTTGAAGCATAAGCTACACAAACTTTATCACCCTTCGATTAGATACGCTACCTTTGCTTGTTATACATTCAAAGCTCACTACATTTATTTCTCTATCTATCTATATAAATATATGAAAGTTAAGGCATAAAAGCTTGTGTGGTACAATTCTAGAGTATTAAAATGCTTATGTGGCAAATGTTAATCTATTGAGTTGGAAATAATTTTTATATTTTTAAAAATTATTTTAAATAATTTTTATATTTTTAAAAATTATTTTAAATATAATTAATAGAAAACTTATTTAATATCATTGATAATATTTCAATTTTTAAATAATTAATTAAATTCATAATATCATTAATGTTTTAAAAACTTTTACTTTTGTTTCAAAATTAATTAACAATATCACTAATATTTATTCTATCTATTTTCTTTTTTCCATTGTTATGGAATTTGTCTAGATATCGATTTCAATGTAAATAAAACCTTAAAGAAAATAAATTATACTTTCAACAAAAAGAAATTAGTTCTTTGTAAATAATATAAAACTATTTTCATGGCATTTTATTGATGTAAGCTTGATCAATGTGATAATGGTGATTGAATTATAGAATGTATTCAGTTTGCGATTATCAACTATGGTATGATTTTGTGATTTGAAATAAATTATTTCATAGCTATTAGAGTATCTAATCCATATAAAAATATTTTATTTATTATTATTATAATTAAGTGTTTATTTTTGTTCAGCACGATGCCACCTAAATCATAAAATTTATTTTTCTTGTGGCTTTTTTAATGAAATTAAAATTAAAATTCATTTTTTAATGTCATTATCTCTGAAATAGAGAAATATTTAATGACAAAATTAATGTTTATGTTTTGTTTTATAAGAGGAGATAACAATACTTCTCAACCAATTCTAAATCATAGCAAACTTCGATGGTTTTTTTTTTAATTTTTAATATTTATTGGATTTATGTCCGAATTCTAGATTATTTATTTAAAATGAATTCAATAATTGGTATTTAAAAAGATTATTTTAAATCTATTAAAATATTTATAAAAATTAGAAATTTTAAACTTAATTATAAACTTGATTTATATATGCATGTTTCAATATATTGATCCTTTTACAAGAATTCGGGAAAAAAATTATTTTTTATTTTATTTTTTTTATATTAGTAAGTATAATATATTAGATATTTAGATTTTTGAAAATAATTATTAATTATAATAAAAGCACATTGTTATTTGTAAACTTTATATAATATTCGCAAGCAAAACTCGAGAAGACCACTAGTTAAACTATATATCTAGAAACATTAATTAATAATTATATTCCATTAGAACATCAATTTTGCATTTTCCACAAATTAACTATGTTTCAATATATGACAACAATAATGAGAGTATCATGGATGCAAATACATTGTTTTGAAGTTTTAGATTTTGACAAGATAAACTGTATTAACAAAGAAATAAAAGCAAGTAAATCACTAAAAAAATATGTATTACTCGTTATGAGAAGGTTTAATATAATTAGTTCATATATAACAATTAATAGAAATCTCAAGTCGCTAGTAATTCCATTGGATTTGAAGTTTTTTCATATGAGTTGATAGTTGATTTATATTTATATTATATTTGAACTTCATTAATCTCATAAAAAAACTATTAATATTTTTTTTCAAAGTAATATTTTTTATCATTTTATATATAATTATTTAAATAATAAATTTTTTATTAAATATTATTTTAAAGATTAATAGTATATTTAATTTATATAACACATTAAAATAGAAAATAATATATTCACTTTAATTTTTTTAAATATACATTATAAAACAAAATATATAAAAACAATAATGATCATTTTATATTTAACAATAATCGATACCAAAATTTTATCGAACACCAATATTCATTAGTTACAACTATTAACTATCAACAACTGTTATCAATTATAATAGGTAAACCAAATGGGCCCTAAATCATAAAAATAGAGTTCTTATCTAATTATCTCATAGCATATAAGTTTTTTTTTTTAAAAAAATACAAATTCTAATATCTATTTCTTTTTTTCTAAAAGAAAATCTTATATATAAGTAGAATAATTATAATTAATTTTCTTCTCTTAAATGCATGCCAATTGCCCCTCATATTGCCAATTTGCTCTCAATGTCAAATATTGAACGAGGAAAAAATTGAAAAATCAGAAAAATTTGTGTACGAGTGCAAGAAGCAAGGAAAAGCCCATATAGAAGTCACAGCCAAAGCCCAAAACAAAATCAGCCCAATATCTAAGCTTTCTTTTTTTTTGGACTCAAAAATCAGCAGATTGATTTTTTTTTTTTTTTTTTTTTTTTTTTTGGATACTATTTTTCTTACTTAGATTATAAAGTTTATTTTTTTTTTTTTTTTTTTTTTTGGATACTATTTTTCTTACTTAGATATTAAAGTTTACATATGTAATGAAACCATTCGACAATTTAATTCAATCAATAGTACTTTATTTTACCATCATATAGCCTTTTTATAGCCATAGAAATACAAAATATTACTACACAACGGCAATTTATTTCTCACGTCTTATTTAATAATAATAGAAACAGAAAATATTATTAAAATTCATATAAAGCTCGAACGCCTTCAATATCATATTGATGTATACCCTTGACCCGTCCGAAAGGAGCAACTGGATACATAATAGCCTCTTCGTCACGGCTATGTCCAAGTCCAAGAAGGTGCCCTATTTCATGCGAGGCAACTGTCCCAAAATCATATAAATTTGGAAATGCACCGATACAAAATCTCCCATACGAATTAAAATGTAGCCTTCCATCCTGTGGAGGCCAAGAATGAGCAGCAATGGCACCAAATGCATCAAAAGGGTACCCATCTCCATGATCACCTTTGTAAAGACCAATCGTTATATCTGGATTTCCACGGCCATGGAAGGGAGAAAATGTGAAGGGCGTAACGTTAGCCCATGCTTGAAAAGCATTCTGGAGAGGAGGTATTAGGTGAGGCGGGGTGTCATAACGAAGCTCGTAAGTGAGTGCATATTTAGAAGCTGGCCATTTAGGGTTCCCAGGAAAGAAGGTATACCCAGAAGTATGATAAGCGTTAGAGCTTTTTTTAATGGTGCCATTGGTGAGGTCTGCAACCCCACATCGAGGCATCATCATCTTTGACACTGTCTCAGAGGTTAAAGATCCAGTAGTCTTCAAACGGTAATTCTGCTGATACATTTTAATGGCAGACTCTAAAACATCGTCAAAGTAATCATCATTAGCATGAGCTCTGTTCTTGTATCTCAAGTAACCAAAATATTTGAGATACTCTTTGAGCTCTTGGATGCCTTTGATCTTATCTCCCTTGTGGCAACCTTGAAGACGTTTGAGGAATTGAAATGGTGGTAATTTTTTGTTAAATGAGTAGGCTAAATCTGAACAAGAAAGGAAAAAAATTAGGACAATAAGAGTGAATGAAAAGAAGGAAAATTTTCTGGAAGCCATGATAATGATCGAGTTGTTAGGTTTAGTACCAACTTAGAGCTTTTAAGGGTATTTATAGAGAAAAATATACTTCTTTTAAATTTCGCTGAAAAATTACCTTAAAATAATAAATAATAAATGATATTTTGTATAAAAAAAATGAATAGAATGATTAACATAATGTGTTGACACTCTTTATATTGTATTCACATGTATAAAAACGAAAAAAGAAAAATAAAAATATTTTTTCGACCGTTAACCTTTCCAATAAATGAAAAGACTAATTTATAAAAGCCACATTAAAAAAAAAATCTTGCAAATAGAAAAAAAAAAATCCAAAGTTGTTAACTTTTCACATATAAAATAAAAAAATTTATATACCTAATCCAATTTGATATTTTAATAACTACCACATAGCATTTAAAAGAGTATCCTGTATATGGAGACCCACACAATTTGCTTTGTTGTTGTAGATTTGTGTTTTGTGATTTATAATTTATAATTTATATTTAGTACATATGAAAAGATTTATTTTCCGGCAGATTTTTTTTTCTTTTTTTTTTTGTATTTTAATAACCTAAAATTTATAAATTGTATTCATGTTTAGATATTCCTAACAATTTGGCTTATGGCAAAGTAAGAGAAAATGGGAGAAGAAAGAAGAGATGATAACGGTCGAGAAGAAAGGAAATTGAAAAGAGAGAGAAATTTTATTTTATTATTTTGTTTAATAAATAATTACACTTTACATTTCACTCGTACTACTATTGTGCATGTGTTACACGTCAACTAGAAGTTGACATACAAGCTGAGCAATAACAACTGATTCGGTTGCAGAAATGAAAATTTTCAATTAAATCCTAAATTGATATTCTTTTACAATTAAACCCAATTTAGAAATACAAATACAATCATATGATATTCCTAATAATCTATTATTATATGTTAAAATATTCATTTTCTCCTCATAGTGCTTAAGCTTTATCTAATTTTTAAAAAATTGTTATTGCTTAATTTTGAGATATTTAATTAAGTTTGAAAATAACACCACCTCAAATGTTTTTCAAGGTAAAACAATTGGGAAAATCATTGAATAATCTAAATTCTAGTAAAAAAACAATTGTAAAATTAATTAAATTACCATTTTATTAGTTCTTTAAATAATTAATGCTTACTTAGTAGAGGTACCAAAAAAACATAGTTTAGGAAGTGGAAATATTCTAAAATTACATTTATAGCTAAAATGACTAATTTTTCTTAATTCCTATGAAATCGAATTAGTGATGAGGGAGTGTTTATCTATAATAGTTGTGATATTGAAAATCTAAGCATATTAATTATACATAATGACCTTTGATATTGAAAATCTAATCATATTAATTACACATCATTAAAGTAGTAAAATATCTAAGTTTAATATTTATTTCTAATTATAATACTTCTAATGAGATATTGAAAATCTAAGCATAGTATGTTTGCATAATAATTTTGATATTGAAAATCTAATTATATTAATTATAAATCATGAAATACTCACACTATTTTGTTAAATTTGATAGTTTTTATTTTTTATTTATTTTTTTGTTCCATTTAGATGATACTATTAAAGTAGTTTTAATTATTCTATTACAATTTTACGATTGTTTACATATATGCAATAAACTTTATTTCAATTATCTTGGTTTTTCAAAAATTATTATTTAGTTCCTGAGTTTTGACGAAATTAATAAACTTGTTCACGTGTTTTGGATAAATTATTATAATATCCTCCATCTAACATATTAGTCCTTCCATCTATTTTATTTATTTTTTCCGTCAAAATCACTTAAAAAGTCGATAATACCCTCACATAAAATACGCACCGTTTTCAGTCAAATGTAAGGCGTGAAGTACGTTGAACCCACGCCGTTCTTAAACCCACAGTGATATTTGCTAAAATTGTTTAGAAGTTATTGAAACCAAAACTTCCTGAACATCCCACGTGGACTCCACCTTCAAGGGAATATATGAGTAAGCCATTGACTTGCCAAATGTGCAAGGTTACTGTCAATGACGTGGAAACTTCTCCATTGTGATGCTTGTGAGAAAGGATTTAATTAAATTATTCTTTTATTAATTTTTAAATAATTAATGTTTATTTTAATGATTAAAGATTGAATAAAAGCTGCTTAATCTTTCAATTAATTGAATTTACGAAAGAAATTAAATTAATAAAAATAATTGAAAATTTTTATTTAAAATAATAAATATTGCAAATTAAAATTTTATTCATATCAATGAACCTAAACCAAATTCATACTTCTAAGAGGTGGTGAATGGCACTGCTTGAGGTGCACAGCACTAAGCAATGGGAAGCCTTTGCCATCTAAGTATGGTCGTGTCGTTGGGAGCATAACTCCACCAAACGGGCCTTCTAATCCAACAGGAGCTCAGCATCATCGGACAAAAAAATGGCACTGTAGATCCAAAGGTTAATCAAGAGAAGTTAGTGGTAAAAGGAAGTTCTGATGTACAGAATCCTGCATAACCGATGGATCTTTTCAAACAAAAGCTCATGTTGAGACAGCAGGCGCTTCATTTTCTCAGACGGCAATTGCTAGAATAGATGGTGGTCGGAGTGGGTGGGGGAAGTAGAGGCAGCAGCAATGCTAGTGCCGGCCGAGGCACCCGTCTCCAGAAGTTCAGCAGAGGAAGGGGAACGATAGCAAATCTCGACGTTAGAAGTGGCGGCGCAGCGGTTGTCTTCAAGGACTGCGCTGGTTCCTGTGATGGATACAGCTCTCCTTGTTTAAGATTTAAAAAAGGAAGAAAATTTGTTAGAGAGTAGAATTTTGAATTCGGGAAGTAAATGAAAGGATCTGGGTCCATAAAACAACAAATGTATTAGGTTAATAAGGGCATGAGACGTGATTTTAAAACTATTCTCTCACATCTCTCTTATTTTTTTCACAATTTTAACAGAAATTCTCGCTTAAATAGACAGAAGGACTAATTTATTGGACAAACCGTAGGTTAGGGATGTCATACTAATTTGTCCAAAACACATGGACTGAGTCTATTAATTTGATCAAAACTCAAAGACTAAATAGTAATTTTCTTTTACCTTTTTTAAAATTGAATTAATTTAATCATTTTCTTAAATTTTGTAAAAAGTCAAAAACTGTGAAATTTAACTGAACGCAGTGATAAAATATTTAAGTTTGGAAAAATATTTATTTATAATAATTCATGTCAAAAAATATTTATTTATAATAATTATGGTGTGATATTAAAAATCTAAGCATGTTATTACCAAATAGTGAAATAGGATATCAATGATTCTTTTTTCTTTAACTAGAATATTGAGTACTTTTTAATACTCAGTAAAAAGTAATTTACGCCTTCGTGGACCTACCTGACTCAAAGCCGGATTAGTATATTAATATGATTAGATTTGGAGTAAATAACTCCATCTATTTGTTGAAATAGATTTTGAGACATGTTCTTAAATCTATCTATTTTGATAGATTTTGAATTTTGTTTAATGTTTTTTTTTTTGAGATTATTGTTACCATTTACTTTTAAGTAGATCGAAGAATTTTGAAAGTTATCAAATCAAATTTGTTGAAAGACCATTGAGTTAAATAGTGCTTGTAAATTGCCACCAAGTCGAGTGTGTTTATCGTTGATAGTACAGAATTTATTACTCTGTCAACTCGATTTAATCTCTCAAATGAAGCTAAAATTTTTTATTAGTAGTATAAGTGGCTTATATAGGTTTTTTATACAAAAAAATATAAGAACTTGTTAATTCATATCTATATTTCATATTTATATTAAGTTTCTTTTTAATGAAATTTTTATTTTTTTCTTAAAAAAAATTCCGCCATAAACAAATATATATATTTACTTTAAACAAAGAACTATACCTTTAAGATTGTTAATCAAATTGTATTCCTTAAAATATACATCATAATTTGAAGTTAAATAGTAATTAATATGGTCGAGTAAATTAAAAAATTTTAAAATAATAATTTTTATTCTATTTTTAACCAATTAAAATATAATGTAATTATCATTATTAAATTTAACCATATCTTTTTATTATCAATTTTTATATTCTTCCTCTCCATAAGTACTTTTATAGATATATCAATTATTAATTATTATAGGGTGGGTTAATTATTTGAACTTTCGGGCGCTATGCTAGTAGTGAATAAATAATTTTTGATTAAATGTGAATTTGATTTCTGAATTTATTTAACAGGATAAAAAATATTATATTTGATTTTTTGTGCTAATTTAGCCTTTGAACTTATATAAAATGATTAAAAAAATTTGATTTCACTTTTTAAGTCAATTTAACTATTGAACTTGTTTTGATTTTTATAAATTAATAATTGATTTAAATTTAACATGATTGACTTTTTAACTCTTTTTGTCCTACACTAAGAACACTCAAATTAAATTTTTCCAATACTTATGAATATAAATTTAAAATTCATAAAAATATCATTTCTTCTAATATAATAAATTTATAAACATGCATTATAACTTTAGTTTATTCAATATGAAAATGCATAGATTTCATAAGCAGTAATCCATTGATGGAAGGTAATTTTAAAATGTTCAAATTAATACAAATTTATAAACTCAAAACTATCAATCAAGGTAAAGAGAGATACAATATACTTCATATATCATTTTTCTATATTTTATAATTAATTAATTTTTTTTAATAAATTAATCAGCTCGATCCCATCAAACTATCAAAAATCAAGGTAAAGAGGATACAATATACTTCATATATCATTTTTCTAATTTTTATAATAATTAATTTTTTTAAAGAGAGATACAATATACTTCATATATCATTTTTCTATATTTTATAATTAATTAATTTTTTTTAATAAATTAATCAGCTCGATCCCAATTACAGTTTTAATAAATGTCTATATAATGGTTTTCACATTATAAGTAAAATAAAAAATTACAAGTTAAATTGACTCAAAATGCCAAATATGATTTTTTTTTTTTTCAAATCATAATGATTTCACATTATAAGTACAATGAATGATTTGAGGTTAAATTGACTCAAAATATCAAATATAGTTTTTTTAATAATTTTAAATAAATTCAGAAGTTAAATTGGTCTAAAGAGTGAAATCAAATCTTTTTAATTATTTTATACAAGTTTAAAAGTTAAATTGATTCAAAAGGTCAAATCTGCATTTTTAATCCTGTTAAACGAATTCAATAACCAAATTGGCTTTTATTCCAGAATTTTGCAATAGATCCTATGGAGTAATAAAAACATTAGATATAGAGAGAAGGTTTTGATTTTTGTTGGCATCTTTTCTTGGTTGTCGGATACTTTTGTTTTTCTTTATTTGTTTTTAGAATTGAAAACTTTTCTTTGTGTGCTTAGATTTTTATGCTCATGGACTGCAAATTAGAAAACTCCCGATCTTATATAGATGTCGCCACTTTTACGGTCATGAAATACGATTTAAATTTAGACCTCTTTTTAGATTATATATATATTTACTATTGAATTATGTTGTAATGTGCAAAATGTTGGTATATTATATGCACTAAATAGATAAATCGGATAAATAATAACTCAATTATGAAAAATTAATTAATTTCAGTCTTTTATTATAAAAGTTTTCATCAATCTAATGAGTTAACGATGGAAGTTGTCCATCTTATTAATCTCTCCTTATGAATAAAAAAACAAATCATTGCAAAATTTTGAAATGTCAAGCGATTTGTCTTTGGAGATGTGAATTTATGTATTTTAACATTAAGCTATTAATTTAATTACATCACTATGACTAGTGATATCGTAGTGCAAAACATTAGCTATGGACCTAACATCTTTCACGTAACTTTCATAATTTAATTTCTGACTCGCTTCACTTTCAAAATGAATTATTTTTGCTTAGATTCTCGACAGGAGCAACAAAGATGCCATTGCCCACATTATAATTGGGCCAGAACTGATCTTCGTTCTTTAACCTTCTATTATTTTATTTATCTATTTCTATATAAATATATAAAGATGAAGTTTGAGTCTCTTCTCATAAAGACATACAATCATAAATTAAATGCAATTGATTTGATTTTGATTTCAAACTCAGTTTAATATTTTTAATATCTTACGTTCTAATTTTTTGAAATTTAATTTTAATATTATATCTATTATTTGATTAATTAAGTTAGAATTAAAATAAAATTAATGATTAATGATATTATTAACATGACTATTCTTATTTTAAAACGGTTAAAAGTTATATATATATTTTTTAATAATCTTATCACTAGTAATATGGTGAATATTCTTCCGTTTTTTTTTTAATAATTAATAATTTTGTCAATAGGATAGAATACAATAATAATTGCAAATGGTCCTTTATGTAAATATGATTTATGCTCTATTCAGTAAAATTAGTTATTTTGATACATGTTAGTTGTTTTAATAGCTTTTAGTTATTAACTATTCGAGTAGTTTTCATGACACGCTAAAAGCTAATTATTACATGAGATAATTTTTTTTATAAAATATTACATTAATCTCTAAAACTAGTTTAAATACTATCTTACCAAATACTATAAAAAATAACGTTCCAAAAGCTATTGTCCAACATAGTTTTAAATTACAAGGATGAATCCATTTCATACAAGATCATTAAGATATTTCTTTTAATGCTTTCAATGATCTTATTAAACTCAATAGAAATTTTTTGTTTTTTTTTTGAAAAGTCAATAGAAAAAATTTTCAACTTAAAAGAAAAATAGTATGACATATGAAAATTGACTGTTACGAAAAATTTATTTTGGATGAGTTGAATTTTCTAAAAGTAAAATTTATATTATTATTTTGGACCATTGAAAGATTTTCTTTTCTTTTTTCTACCAATAACTTATTTTCCAATTACAAGCCAGGATGGGAGTTTTGGTGATGGAACCATTGTTGAACAATTGACCTTTTCTTCTCAGGCTTCAATTATGAGAAAGTTATATAGTGATGTTGGTGGAGGGACCCACTCTCCCTTATCATCAGGATTCAAGGACCAAAGGTGCTCTATCCATTTTCCAATCCGAAAATCTATACACTATACGAAAACTAAACAAGGACTAGCGCGTGGGATTCAAATCCCTCCTTTTTCCCTTCCTTTACGCGTTCAACATGCTCGTCGCCCACACGTCCACTATGGAAGGCCCGTCTTCTCACCCATCACGTACGTGTCCACCATCGTACACCACATTACGGGACAGGACCACCAACCTGTTCGTCCACGTCATTCATCACTACTCTTATATTATATTTACACGTCACTAATTATTCACACGTAACCAGTCACCTTGCTTACATACTTGACCACTAATTTATGCATTTTATTACAGTAAAATACAGTAGTTGTCCCTTTATTTTTTAAAATACATTCTCTGTCCACTTTTTATTTTCATACAAAGTAAAAAAAATAATAATCATTATGGTTAAAATGATAATTCTGATCATATAATTATCTTATATGTCCATCTAAAATAATAGATGAATTATTATTATATTGAAATAATAGGTAATAATTAATGATAATTATTGAAAATAAGATAAAATTTAATAAGGATATAATAGACAATTTAAAGATTAATTATAATGTAAAAAAGGAAACTGGTCTGCATTTTGGAACAAATCAAGAAGAAAAGATGAACTATTTTTTTCAAATGGAAGGAATATAATTTTTTTTATATATTTTACTTTTGATTATATCACTATATGTTCTTCTGTACAATTTTTGTATCTTTTCTATTAAGTCAAAAAAAAGAGAGAGATAAAAACACAGATATTAAATTTTAATACTAAAAAATTACTGTACGATCTCTAATTTTAAAAATATACCAAATATGATAAAATATTTTCATCATTTCACAAGGAACTTAACGAAAGAAATACAAAAATTGAACGGAACGATACAGTAGTATAACGAAAATAAAATATAAGGAAAAATTAATCTATTTTCAAAAGTACAAAGACGAACTAGTTGTATTTTCCGAACCACAGAAACGTACTGTAATTTTTCCTTTAATTAATCATATTTATTATTTTTAATGAGAAAAAAAAATATTCATCCATGAACAATAGTAGGATTATACTAAACATCTTGTTTTGCGGCTAAATTAACATTTAATCCCTGTGAGTTGGTAAAATTAACTAATTATCTGCCTTTTATGAAATATATGAAAGCATCTTTACGTTTTAAACGGCAATAGTTTGATGATTCCATCTAGAATAAGAATAACCTTACCTTGATTTTCTTTGTTTAAAATAGGCATGCTAATTATTAAAATATTCATATTATAAAAAAATTAAATTTTACTTTTAAGTATAAATAACTACAATAAAAATAGAATAAAATGTAATTCGGTTTCTTTAATAAAAATTAATGTTAAAAAAATATAATTTTAGATGGAAGAACTTATTAGTCTAATTAAGATAATTCATAGAGGTAGATTCATATATTTTTAGGAGGGGAAAGCTATATACTTCATTTTAGTGAGTTAAAAGAGATTTTTAATTTAAGTTAGTTAGTTAGTTATTATTATTATTATTATAAGGCAAATATGATTAAAATTAGAAAATTAGTATTTCCTTGAGAATGTTTAAATCTAAAATGGAAAATTTACAATACGATTTCTGTGATTTGGAAAATATAACTAGTCCGTCAGTGTCTAAGAAATAGACTAAAATGTTTTATACTTAACTTCTGTTAGATTATGAGGTCCTTTCGTTAAAATTTTGTATTTTTTCTATTAAGTATCTTATGAAATTATAAAAATACGCTTTTTATTTTTAAAAATACAGGGATAGACTAATTATATTTTTTAAACCATAGGGACTATATTGTGATTTTTTTTCCTATAATATTTTACTGTTTATCTTTTGACTTCTTTATTTTCTTATTGACTTAACAGAAAAGATGTAAAAATTGGACTAATTATATTTTTACTGATGGACTAATTATATTTTTTAAACCATAGGGACTGTATTGTGATTTTTTTGCTATAATATTTTACTGTTTCTCTTTTGACCTCTGTATTTTCTTATCGACTTAACAGAAAAGATGCAAAAATTGAACTAATTATATTTTTACTGATGGACTAATTATATTTTTTTAAACTATAGGGACTGCATTGTGATTTTTTTGCTATAATATTTTACTGTTTCTCTTTTGACCTCTGTATTTTCTTATCGACTTAAGAGAAAAGATGCAAAAATTGGATAAAAGGATCTAATAGTGTAACGGAAGTAAAATATAAGAACAAACTAATATATATATATATTTTAAAAAAAGACGGATTAATTATATTTTGTAAACTAAAAGGATCGTACTGTAATTTTTTCTTATAAAATTATATAATTTTCTCAAGAATGTTTATATCTATAATGTTAATATACTATATTTTATAAATTTAATTGTTTTGAAGTTTAATTAATTAATGATTTTATGAAAATAAAAAAATATACATTAAACTATGCTTTAAATTAATGGTAAAACTGAGACCGTTACATATCATTAATATAAAGTATTTCTATTTTGATTTTAAAAAAAACTAAAAAATAGTTAATTTTTCCGGCAATTTCCACTCATGATTCAAATTCTCATTTTCACGTCTCCCAAAAACATTATGATATATAGAAATATAAAAAATATTATTACATAATAATTTTTTATACTCCAATAATAACGGCATACTATAGTGTCGTTTTGCTGTACAAGGTAATCTCGCAAGTCGCCCTCAGGCGACAATTTCTACTGAACGGTCTCTCTCTAAAAAGAAAAAGAAAATGAAAAATAAGTCTAAAACGACAATTGAGAGCTCATTGTCCGATTCCAGCAACATTCAAAAAGATGGCGTTCCTCACCCAACTTTGATATGGTGCTTCACTCACTTGCACGCGCCGCCCTGTCACACGAGGCTACGACACTTGCTACCGCTTCCCATCTCTTTTACTTCTTTCCCTCTTTTCCTTTTTGTTTTCCTTCTTTTTAGCTTCTTTCTCTCTGCTTTCTCTAATTTTTTCTCTCTCTTTCTGCTTTCTTCTCTTTATTTCCCTTCCTTCTCTCTCTAATCAATTTCACTGCCACCCACCACCACTAACACCAGTAGCACCACTTCTCTCTGACCACCGTCCCTTTCTAGTTTCTATCTATTTCAAAGATCTGAAACTGTAGAGGAGTGAGTGGTAATTTATGAATCCACAGCTTCTGATGATTATAAGATGGGCGGAGTCACCTCGTCAATCGCCGCAAAGTTTGCTTTTTTCCCGCCAAATCCGCCTTCATACACTGTGGTAGCCGACGAGTCCAGCCCCGGCAAACTGTCCATTCCGGAGGTTCCGAGAATAGACGAGGTGGATATCCTTAAGCTCCGGACTCGCCGGGGAAACGAAATCGTGGCCGTCCATATAAAGCATCCTAGAGCATCAGCAACTCTGCTATATTCACATGGAAATGCAGCTGATTTAGGACAAATGTTTGAGCTTTTCGTCGAATTGAGTAAACGCCTTCGTATTAATCTCATGGGGTACTAAATTCTTTTCTTATCATTAGTTATTCGTTTCATTTAGTATTTTAAAAGTAGATGCTTTTATTGGTAGACAATAGACGCTATTTATTGTTGTCTTAATTAGTTGTTATACTGCAGTTAATTAAGAAGGTGTTCATTTTGATGCCTATGAGCAATTTTAAAGGAGTTTCTCATAATCCTTTGCTATATGGAGTAGTTTATTTTTTGAGGAAGTTAACTACAAGTAAGATTGGAAAGTGAATTCAAAAACAACAATGGTCCAAAGGTAGAAGTGGGTGCTTGAGCTAGTTTCATGAGCACTATTTGTAAGGCTATAACAAAATAAGCAATTTTTGAACGGGGTTTTAATATGTAGTTTTCTGCCAGTGGGCAATAGTCGGGTGGTCTAGTACTTACAAGCTAGTGCAGAGTAGTCAAGTCCCAGCTTGTCTCCGCCCAACAAACCCAAGAAAAAAAAGGCTAATTCCTTATTTTGGGGAAAAAAGTAGGGTGTGATTTTTGTTTGGGAATTAATTGTATAGTTGAATTCTGCTTCAAGCTCAACTCTTATAAGCTTGTAAGTTTCCGAATTGTTATGCAGTCTGACTGAAATTTTTACAGAAATTTCAAAAGCATCACCTGCTTTTATGATTATGTGATAGAACCCTAAACTAGATTTGAGCTGAGAAAGCATAAAACTTCCAATCTTATTCTCCAATTTTCAAAAAAATGCAGCAAAGTTCAGATTTGCATTAATTCCATCACATTCATGATTAAAAACCTAATTCATTTCCTTATCAAGTGGCAGTGAAATAACTCTAAACTTCTAAATATGCTGTTTTATAGACTCGACATCATCTCTAAGTTTTCCTTCAATCTTATTATGTTTTTTTAACTTTAACCTCTAATCAAACCCTATCCTTACACAATTATTGGTCAATTTCCATGTCACTTTCTCAATTAATTACCATTTAGGAGTTTGAACATCTGGATAAATTGGCAGAAAGGAGCCCCACTGCTTTTGAAGTCCTGTAAGAAGTATTTAGATGCAAGTAATTGCTATTCCAAGCTTAGATATGTTTTTTTGGTGCATTTGCTTTGCAGCATTAAGAAACTTAATTTGCCATTGGAAAAAGGGGTTCTAGTGAGGCAATTCAAAATATGTCAACATGCTCCGTTATTATATAATTCAGATGCCAGGATCTTTTTCCTGTCTTACTGTGAAGGCAGATATTTTCTTCCCGATTTTTCAGTATATTTGATGATTTGTTTTCGATTTATGTAGTGCTAAGTACAGTTTAGCATTCACTTGAATCTACAGAATGAAAACAATAACAAAAGGAGTTCCACTTACCCGTGGTTCCATGTAATTGATTTTTTTTTTTTTTCGTAGTGTCTTCAGGCAGAAGTATTAATAAAGTCTGCCTTTACCAATAATAACCGCCTTTATGAAAAAAACTAGCTGTATCTTGTCATTGTAAGTACTTTATTTGGAGAAACTTCTGATGCAAGAGATTTTCAATTTTTAAGCTAACTACAACCAAGGACAAAAATCAAGAAATAATTTGTTTCTTTGTTTAATTTATTTTTTATGTATTTATCCTATGGATTATCCTGCCTGGTATCATAATTTGGATGGCCTCAGGTTGCTGTAGTATTAGGCACTTCAAAATTGAGAGAAAAATGTGTATATCAGTGCTTTCTAATTTTCAAAGTGGAATTTCTTTTGTTCCAGAAAGAGGAATTTCCTGGTCCAGGAAGTGTATAGTTCTTTTAATATTAAACCTGTCAGCTTACATAGTACTGCTGTATCAATTAACTTTTATTTTTCCCCACGAAATGAATTGTGGCTACTAACAACTGCTGGTGTCTTGTTTGATCAATTTATTATGGGAATCTTGGTAGCCAGCCAAGCTGCTGGAAGAGCTTAAGTGTAATACATTCTGTTAGTGAAGTAAATGTGCAGAAAGTCTCTTCTGCTGAAGGATAAGAGCCTTGGAAATTTCTTCTTTACAGCAATTGTTGCTTCCTGTTCTTCCTTGCTCAAAATTTGTAAAACACTTCTCTAATGTTGTGTAAACCTGCTATATAAAAGAGAATTCTTTCGTAGCATTTTTTTTTTTTTTGAGTATTGGGGAAGGAGGGTTTTGAATCTGGAACTATTGTCAAGTCGTACACGCACCTACTATTAGCTATGTCTTGGTGTGCAATTATTTTTTAACATTGAGATGGGGAGTGAGGAGTTATTTGCATTATGAGGTTTTTGAGTCACCCTGTACTTGTCCTTGACATGTTCCCATATTTGAATTTATTTTGCCTTTTGGCCTAGTCTCCTGTTTGTTGTTTTTCTAATGGTTTGATCCATTAGCTTTCTGGCATTTAATAAATAAAACATCATCTCTTTTTTTATTGAAGTCGAATCTTATTGCTATGACATGTAAAAGTTTGACAGCCTGTTACTGCTTCTATTCTGCCTTTCTTGTTTAATGCTTTACTGAATATTGGCAACATTAAGTTTTGATGTTCACTAACAAATTCATGAAATATCCATTTGACAATATGATGGTTAACATATGCGTCTGCCTGTGGTGTTCAACACTCTAAACTGTTGTCTGATTTTGACAATTTGCTAATGTATGCATCAACTTTGCATTTGCACAGACATGGAACTGAGAGAGGAATTGAATTGTGGACATCACTTTTATTTGTTGATCTATTATTTTTTATTTGTTTATCTATTATTATATTGTATTTGTCTATCTATTAATATATCAAATGATTTTAAAATTCCCTTTTCAAAAAATTTTTCCTGCAAATTCTTTTTTTCCTCAAAAAGTATTTCAAAATTTTTTCCAACTTATACTTTGCTTTGCATTGCTATTAATTCGCTTAGAGCGGAAATTGGAAACAAAGGATTCATATAGCCAAACCCAACTAGTTTGACACTAAAACTTAGTTGTTGTTGTTGAATGCATTGGGAAGTGTAGTGTGATTTGAGCCGCAAAAGATGGATAGCCACCTACACCTTGTGGACCTTATAATATGCCTGATGAATACATTAGAATTTGATATATTGAAACTTGTAGTTGGACAAGGAATATCAATGTAATAAAGTTCTATGCTTATTAGCATATTTATCATGCATTCCTTGTATGCAGATATATTTGGAATCCATGCCCATGCCAATTACATGCAGTGGACACTTGTAACTATTAGATTTGGCCAAGACCTGCTGAGCAAACTATGTCCTGCATACACTCAATGTGATTTTGTAATTTCCTTCTTTGTGTGTGACAGATGTGCAAGATTGGCCATACACGTATGTGTATAGCCTTCCCAGAAACTGTAATGCATCTCAGTTCAAAAACAGACTAATAAATTATGATCTTTTACCCTTTGTTGGAATTTTTTGTTGTATTTGCTTGGCATGGGGCTAAATCCTTCTCTAATATGCATTGTTTTATTCAGGTATGACTACTCTGGCTATGGACAATCAAGTGGAAAGGTTAGATACTAAGTTTCCCCATTCTTTATTCATAATGATTCATGATTAACAGAAACTTTTGTGCTTGCTATATGACTTTGCCAAATTCTTGTGCCCTTTTTAGAACTTGAAGTTCTAGCTAATTTCTCAAGTCAACTGGTTTTGCACATTAAGCTTAGGGGTGACTATTTTGTTGGACACTTCTATGGTCTTGCAACTAAACATGAAATTGTCTATGCCTAGCTGGAATAATGTTGAGTCAAACTTTAATAAGCATTGCATTAGACATATGTGCATATAGCTGATATGTAATTTTCTGATTTCCTGTGAGTGAAACAACCGAATTTGCATGGTTTTTTCTCTTGGTTAAAAAATTGTCCAATGTTGCTCTTAACAATCGCTTGTCTTATGGAACAGCCAACTGAATGTAATACATATGCTGATATAGATGCAGCATATAATTGCCTCAAAGAACAGTATGGGGTTAAAGATGAACAGTTAATACTGTATGGTCAGTCTGTTGGTAGTGGCCCCACAGTTGATCTTGCTTCACGGTTACCAAACTTGAGAGGTGTGGTTTTACATAGCCCAATTTTGTCTGGAATGCGGGTATTATATCCAGTCAAGAGGACATACTGGTTTGACATTTACAAGGTAATGTGTACAGTATTAAATTTGATTATGTTAGATATGCTTGTTTAATGCTCCACATTGCGCTCATGTGACTTTTTCTTTTCAGAATATTGACAAAATTGGAATGGTGAACTGTCCTGTTCTAGTAATTCATGTAAGTGTTATCTTCCTTGTATTTATAGTTCCCTTTTAGAGCTGTGCATCTTTTCTCTCCCTCTTTCTGCTTACTATATTTATGGCCGGAGCAAGTTGCCAGCTTGAATGGAGGACGTAGTAGGGTATTATTTTTTTGAATTCTTGTGCCAAATTCTGAATTTATTGATATAATATACTCAAAACTTGGTATTTGTAGTATTCGCCTTAAGGACATTGATAAACCTTTTTCAAAGTATCTTGATAGTGAATAAATCTTTGCTTGGGACAAAATCATGGCTAGACATGACTTGCACTATTCTCACTAAAAATAAAAGAAAATGTTAACTTTTTGAGCTACTGTAAACTTGCATATGGTAGCAATGCAAAGCTGTCAAAGCAGTTTAGAACTGTCAATGTAGATATCCATGGTAAAATGAAATAATAAGTTGGTCTTCTGTAGGCCACTATGGCTTTAGGTATTAGCACTATGGCTTTCAACCTAAACGGTTTCAATTTCAACCACTCCTTAACAAACCGAAAAGTGTTTTGATGGTAAACTAACCAAGTAATTAAACAGGAATATATTTTTCATCTTTTCTTGAGCCTGAATTCAATTCTTTGTCTCTCTCTGGGTGACAGTTCTTTGCCCTTTAGTATATATGCAATTACAGTAAAATCTTGGAATTTTTGTCATCAAGTTAGGTTAAGCAATATGGTTTCCGAGCCAGCAACTTCAAAATATATTTCATTCAGTGCCTGGTCTGTGGTTAGCATGTCCTGTCCCCATACCTTTAACTGGGTTGGCACGTGGATAATGAATGCTTAACTAAGTTTTAATCAGAAACGAGATAAGAGTGGGTTACATGAATCGTTTTCCTATATTCCACCTTGTAACATGGGTATTAAGTGTAATATCATTATCGAGTTAGTCATCACCATAATTATTAATTTGTTATATTGTTGCTCCAATTTTTGTGTCGGCAATTTTGTATTTTCTGCAAATATCCTTGCACATTCCATCTTTGCAATGAAGTTTGAATCATAAAGATAACCAATCATCCTACAATATTGTTCATGGGAATTTGTGCATAAAATTACTGCATTATTTTTTACTCATATTAGAGATCTTTTTTAGAAGAATAGAGATATTAGAGGTGAAATTGATATGATTCATTTGTTCTCTTCAGGGAACAGCAGATGAAGTTGTTGATTGCTCACATGGGAAACAGCTTTCGGAGCTTTGCAAGAGATATTAGAGGTGAAATTGATAATGATTCAATTTGTTCTCTCAAGGGACAGGCAAGATGAAGTTGTTGAAATTGCTCACATGGGGAACAGCTTTTCGGGAGCTTTGCAGAGGAAAGTGATGAACGGCATTGGGTGGATGAAGCGGGGCGGGACATGTGGCGATGCGGTTGATGCATTTATCCAGATTTATCCAGAATTCATCAGACATCTGAAGAAGTTTGTGCTATCGCTAGGAAAATCAAAAGCAGCCACAAATGGCTCTAAAAAGACAACTGTGTCAGAAAATCAGAACAAACCATCTGAGAGCGGAAGTTCAGATACTTTCGAATTGGGTGCTGACCTTCCTGAAATCTCTAGAAATAGTTTAGATAGTAGGCTTGAGAAGTCTAAGAAGCCAGATAAACCTGAAAAATCCCGGATGAGCACCGACCGTGTTGATAGATTTAGGAGAAGAAAAGGCTTAAGAAAAGGCTTGGTCTGGTGATTGCTTACACGAAGAGCTCCAATAAAATATGTGCATGGATCCACTTGAGAAGGTAGTGTATTTTTCACTCTTGCTTTTGTAACGAGCAACAAGTTTCATATTAAATCATTGCTTCTGAGTGTAATTTCTACATAAATGTCATATCTGTATGTATCTTAGAAGAAGAGTCAAATTAAGCTAAATCTTGCATTTTAAGTTTTTAACTCCTCTCTAAAAACAGTTGCTCTGCTCATTTCAAATTTAGCTAAATGTTAATAATGTTTTGTGCTAATTTTAGAAAGTAGTCATCATTAGAAAGTAGTCGCAGTCATGTGTTTTTTTTGTCAATAACGTGGTCTTTTCCGGCGTTATCATACTGCTTTGATGTTTGGAATTGGAAATAGGTTGAGCCAAAACCTTGGTAAAATTGTACAATCGAATTGAATCAGTTCAGGTTCTAATTCAAGTATTTTACAAAAACCCTTATGAGGCTGGATTAATTGGTAAATTGGATTTCTATTTTTAGTATTTAGTGGAGATACTAATTTTTTGTCTGAATTTAGGTTTCTTGTTAATAAAAATAACGCTCAAATATGCTTTTTAAATAGTTAAATTCAAATTGGAACTGAAATTGAATTTGGTTTAGTTTGATTTTATACACTATTCAGATTTTGGTTAATTTAAATTAAAAAATATCGCCTACTTAGTTTGCATTGCTTCAGTGGCTTGAAAACCAACCGATGAATGGCCGCATCCTATCTGAAGTATCTGAAAGTATCGAGTGATTGAAATCAAGGGTTTCAATATATAAGCCATCTGAAAGATTCAAAAGACCTTTCTTTTGATTGTAAATAAAATTTTAAAATAAAAGATTAGTTGCAAATTCCTATGTTTAGGACAAATCAAATTTCTACTTGGATTTTCATTTTTTTGCAATACTAATATCATAATTCGGACTAGGCATGGCCACCGGTTCTATTCTAACTGGAATCGAACCGTATTGTAGACGAACTGAAATCGGACTGAAACCGGTGGTTCATAATTTTGAACCGGAATCGGCGGTTCAAGGGCCGGTTAAGGTTTATGTGAATGTTAAAATATGAACCGTTGAACCGAAACTGGCCCGAGAACCAGGCGGCTAACGGTTCCAGGATTGGAACCCCGATGCACAAAAAAATTATAGCTTAAAATTTTTATAAAAAATTTATATCACTTTGCATCTTGATTTGTAAGGATTGATTTGATTTATGGTGAAGAAGAGTTAAAAATGTACATAAGTTATAAAGTGGTGAAAAAAAAAAAAACACATTAATTTGACTTAAATTTATACCAAAAATGGTACATGAGGTAAGTTGATTTTAATAAAAAAAAAAAAAAACTTTCAAGTGTAACAAAAAACTTTCAAGTGTACAAAAAAAGAGTGTAATGATATGATATGTGTTTTTTATTTTTTTTTTTGGTAAATAAATTTTATTCATTTTTTAATAATTTATTTATTGATTTACTGTAATCTACTAAATTATCCAAAAATATACCTTATTTTTCTGTTATAAGGGACAATTTAAAAGACTAATAAATGAGAAACATGTATAAATATGATGAGTTGATGATTATTTATTTTACAATTAATTATATCTTAACTCTTCTCTTGTTTTCAATCAAAATTCTTTCAAATTTCCATAATTCATTATTTTTTTTGTTGCTTTATTTTCCTTAATATTAGAATTATCTATTGTTTATTTTTTATTTTCTTACATCCAATTCCAAATTCTCTCTCTAATCTCAATTTTTCTATTCATAAATTTACTTCATTTGATTTTTTTAATAATTTTCTTAGTATTTGAAAATAATAATTTCCAACTCCTTCCATGAAATTTCCATACTCCTATGGCCATTAAGTTTTTATTCGCATTTTCTAGTTTTTCTGAGTATTAGTGAATTGAGCAGAAAGTGTGTTGGGTAAATTAAGTGTAATAATACTTCTAAGTTAGTTAACTAGAAAGTTTTTCTTTTAAAATTTTATATAATTTATTTAGTTAATATATAATAATTTATTTAGTTAATAAAATTTAAACATTTTAAAATTATTATTTATTTATGAATTAGGAATCAAAATTTTATTATTTTTTTAAAAATTTGCATACCGAAACCGAATCAGAAACGTAATTCGAACCGTTGATTCGCCGGAACCGTGCCAGAACCGGAACCGGAACCGGACCCGGACCGGAACCGTAGGTTCAAAGGTCGGTTCCAGTTCAAAATTTGAAACATCTCGAACCGGCGGTTCTGTGAACCAGAACCGGCCATACCTAATTTGACCTATTAATACCAATATTATAATATTGAAATAAAGTACCCAAGCGCAAATCACAAAAATCACTTTTCCTATGAGATTTCTAATTGGTTTTACATATATATACCGTACATAGTACATACATGTGTGTGTATATACACTTTGTATTTATCGTTGATGCTATCGCTGCCGGTCGCGATCGTTATGGTATAAACTGTATAAGGATAGTTTGAAGATTTCTGATTTATTTTTTAGCAATATTGATATTTTCTTAATATATATATATATATTTTTGACATTTTGTTAATTTAGAAAGCTAAGTTTTAACATTTGTTAAGTTTTGACATTTTGTTAATTTAGAAAGCTAAGTTTTAACATTTGTTAAGTTGTCCCTTGAAATTAAGATTTGAAAAGGCCTATCTAATTAAGAAAATTTTAATCTTTGAGTTAATTAAAATTAGGGTGGAAAGGCGGTTCAAGGCATGGTCCCCATTTTCTTAACTTTGTCGGTTTCTAAATTATTAAAAGAATAAGTATTTTTAAATTTCTGATTTTACCATCTTCTGTGATTGGTTTACTTTGACTCTTGAAAAAGGACCATGTATACTGTACTGAACTGTAGATGCATCATCCGTGTTTTGATTTATATAGCTAACTTATTCTTTGGTAGGAAATTTGAGTTTATTCCAATTTTTTTCATATTACCAAAGCTTGCATTGACCGCCATTAATCAACCATTCCAACGGAACCTTTTCTTTACAAATTATCACATAACCTAAAAAACTGTGTCTCTTCTTCTCTCACTCTCTGAAAATGCAATCCCTTTCCTTCACGGCCCTGTCTGTCTTTGGCTTTAATCATTACTATAATCTCTCTCTACCCTTCAAGATTTGTATCTGCAATTGATGAGCGATACCAGAACTGCAGCGGAACATTTGATTGTGGAAACGTTACAGGTATTAGCTATCCTTTCTGGGGAGTGTGGTTGGTTTACTTTGACTCTTCAAAATAGACC